TCCACTTTATTGATGTGCTTCTTGAGAGATGCAACTCTTGCATATTCCAATTTTGGTCTCACAAAAGTCATGAACAGTTTCTTTAGCATTTCACCATCCATGTAATTAAAAGCAATTCTGAAGTTGGAGTGCAGCATATGCTCCTCTCACAATGTCCTTTATGTGGTCCTCTGGTGTCCTTTCCATATAATTTATAGGTTGTGTATGGTCTATTTTCTCTTATACCACATTCCATAACATGCATTTATTCACATTGAATTCCATTTGCCACAAGATGCTCCAAGCTCTTACTGAACCCTGCTTGTTATTCATTTGTACATCAAACTCATAAATTCATTCATATCTATCACTCAGGAATCTTAGGAAGACAATTCTTAACTCACGAAATAAAGGAATTTTAGTGAGAAAATAAAAGAAAAAGGCTTTGGAAAACTGTTTTGGCATTAATGGTTATTGCTGAACAGTATGAAGCTACAATTATTGATACATGGGCGGCTTTCATTTGCAAGTTAGGTGCAATGCTACACAAACTCTACTACACAAGGCTCACTGACCATTTTAGAAATTCAATTTACTATACCCTGTACATATATTTCTCTTACTTGTCACCTAAGATACGAGCTCCCTTTCTACTTACTACAGCTTGCATCTTTTAAATATAATTACTGAATTATTCTCTACAGATTTACTTTTCTATATATAATCTCAACAAAAACTATTGTACCTGTAATCAAAATACAGCTTTGCTCAAATATTGGTCCTTACACATTCAAATTTCACCTTCCCAATTTTGCTTTAAATTTTTGTCTTCCCATACATCTCTCAAATAAAATAGTGAAACATTCCTGTTTAATGAAAATACGTTACATAGCCCTCAACCCTCATTTTCCCAACCACCACCTGTATTCCTCTTCGTACCTACAGTATACATGCAATTTAGATACAGATAAAAATGTATTGAGCAGCTTGGCTACATTTCAACACTCATCACCATCTTGTAGTGATAACACTCTCCAAGTTATTAATAAATACTGTATTAAAATTTTTACAGATGCCCATGTATAACATACATATAGTATAGCAAATACAGTATTTGGTCTTCAGTGCTATTCATTTATTGTACAGTATATGAATATCACTCACTTTGACTTGTATCCTGAATACAGCATTAAATTGAACATTAGTAAAACCTTCATATGCACATATACACTGCATATAGTAATCATGCCTTTCTTTAAGAAAAAAAACTAAAGCCTCCTAAAACATGGTACAGTAGTGCAAGACTGCACTGTTGCATGCTAGCACGGCGCCTGATGGTTGCAAATGCACGTTAATAAAACAAAAAATTATACCTTTTATGGCATACCTCTTGATACAAATGGGGTAGCTGTATAGTTTATATAATGGATTACAGTTTTTGTAATGAGCTTAGAAGGTGCAATGAACACAAGAGTTTAAAAGATCACATGGTGAAGCATTGAGTAAGCTGGCCTAACGTGTGCAAGCAATGTAACGAATATGGGAAAGGCGATTGTGCAAGAGTGGTCATGGTGGTGATTGTGAGTCAATCTAGTATGCCCATTATATAAACAGGCTAATGAAGTTTAAAATTTTGAGTTCTGATATGAAGAAGACCATTGCAAAACAACTGTTTGATTGTGCTATATTTTATTAATATAGCTATCCATTTCTCCATTGTTTACAAAAAAAAATATATTAATGGGAAGTAATATTCGAAAGAGGGCAAACCTGAATGGCAGTTTTTGCTTCTGTATCTCCCTGCTCATTGGAGTAAATTCTGATATGAAAAAACTCCCAGCAAAACTACACACACATTTGTACTGTATTTACTAAAAGATACAGCCTTATTTATGTTATACAGTAGTACTAAAGGATTCAGTAACCTAGCATTAAGGCTGTTATTTTACTAATGGATTAAATTAATTATTAGCCATTAAGGCTCTTGTAGGGTTTATATCTAACAAAGTGCATTTGGTTCAGTAATATCCTCTTATAGAATATAAAATCACACCTAACTGTGCAATAAAAATACTCATTTTTAATAAAAGGCAACACACACAAACACACATGCTGTCTGAGAAAATCTAAATCCCCCACCAGCTGCATCTTTAGTCATCAGTAAAAATACAAAGATATTTGGAATGCATATTTCAAAGTTCTAGACAAATTTGGGTTAAAATGGTACGAGGGATACAAGATTTTACTTTGTGTCAAGGATTTGACATAAATCTTATGACTGTGACAGTCCATGACAGAACCTGTGGAGTAATACAGGGCAAAATATTTTGAAGACTGATTTAGAGATTAAAATAAAAATTTGATTACAGGATCATTAAATGGTTGCAAAGTACAATTTGCAAATTTTTTAAACAACATTACCATTTGTTACAACCATATACCATATAAATGTGAGAGGGGTCCATGGCGTAAGAATGTGAAGTGCCAAAGACAATACCAATCATGTCTATAATGTAGGAATAAAATTCCGGTGTCAGATCAAATGCTCAAAACCATGACGAGAGAGAGAGGTATCAAATAATATACACTGTACATGGAAAATACTGGAAGGCCAGGTCCCAAATTTACAATAAAATAACAATATACTTGAGTGAATGATATGGAAGGAAATGCAGAACAGTCAGTGATGAGTAAAGGTACCACAGATAAAATCAAAGAAATCTATGAACATTAGAGGTCCACGGTTGTTCAATATCCTTCCAGGAATTATAAGAAATATTGCCTGAACAAAAGTGGAAGTCTTCAAGAAAACTGAACACTTTTCTGCAAAAAGTGCCTGACCAACTGGGCTTTAGTGGATATGTGGGCCTGCGGGCCACTCCAAGCAATAGCCTGTTGGACCAAGCTCTTACAAGCCAAGCCTGGCCCTGGGCCAGGCTTGGGGAAGTAGAACCCACAGAACCTCATCCAGTTACTATCCAAGTACATGTATGCTGACAAAGAGGCAGAAAAGTCATTATTTATTTTTTATAAAACTAAAGGATGTACACTTAATATGATCCTTTTATTAGCACCTCATGAAGTATGCAATGACACTTTTAACAAATTAAAAGAGTTGGTGTATGAAGTCAGCAAAATGCTCTCCCTCCATTTGTGATGTCAGCTTCATCCAGTCTAATGTTTAATCTTCAAAACTCCTCTATTACAAGGGCTTGTGCTTCAGCTACTGCCTTTATAACTTGCTGCAGATCAACAACAACTTCTGTTGTTGCTGTCTGCTCTGTAACACTCTTGTTATCTGTTTGTATTCTGAGGATCATGCGTTATGAAATTTCTCATTGCTGGTTTCAGTCAAGGCCTTCCATTCACCTGGGCTCTAGGAGACTCGAACCGCGGACCCCACGTGTGTGAGGCCGAAGCTTACACACGTTTTATCAGTCAAGTCCTCTTATGTACAAAATTAACATCCTTCTCATATTGTTCTGTCCTTTCTAAATGTTGAGTGGCACCCAAGGAGATGAGATCAGTTTAAATAACTGGGATATGAGATTGATAAATAATAAAATTGTGCAATAAAAATTGAGAGGTGGGGTAAGGCAGGGAAAGACAGTGGCTGCTACAATAAAAGCCTGGTTAGAAAAAATTAGAAAGAAATAGATGCCAAAGGGCTTCATGAAGAAGTGCTAATACCAACTCTAAAGTACAGAAGTGAAACAACAGTGTAGTAGGAATGTGAAAAATCAAGAAATAGAATACAGTAGCAGAAATGACACTCTGAGAAGCATAAGAAAACTTAAATATCCAATGCTTGATTTACATAATTGCCATACACCAATTTCAGGCAGAAATACCCACTATAAACAATATTCTTAATTAATATAGTAGAGACATTTTACTACTGACACCACAACATTGATGAAAGGACAGAAGACACTGCTAATATTGTGGGATGAAAATACAGTACAGTACTATCATCACCACTGTTACATATCAATTATAAACAATCTGAGATTACCAAATGGTAAAGGTATCACTGCTAAATAGTATTTTGTCAGAAATCACTACTGTAGATAAGATTTCAATATACAATTATGAAAATTCAAATTCACTAAATCTAAGACATTGGTATACAAATTATACAGTATTAATGAAGTGAAAAACCTTCTTTATACTAGTATATTAATAATTTTGAGTGATGCACATGTAATACATCAAAAGTTGACTAATATGTATAAGAAACATTATATGAACATTAACAATGCTCATGGTTACAGAACGTTTAATCCAGAGAACAAAACTTTGTAAACGAAAATGCAATAGCAGCATTATAATCACGTCGCTGATTTAACATGTGGGGGAAAGGTCCCTTACATGCTGAGGATGATGCTATATTACATTATGTAGCAGCTGATGTGTATGATGTTACATATGATGCAGCAGTTATTGTTGTTATGGATGATTTGATACATGATGCAGCAACTGACATTGATATGGATGATGCTATACATGATGCAGCAGCTGATGTTAATATGCATGATGCTATATATAATACAGCAGCATATATTGATATGAACAATGCTATATATAATGCAACAGCTGATGATGATGTACATAATCTGAGGTAAATATCTGAGAGGTGTGTGGGAATAACATAATCAATGAGCCTTGCATGTTAAGTACAAAATCAAACGTACACAACACTTCAGTTCTTCCTGTACTTCAGGTTGGAAAAAAGCTTGCCACTCTTTATCATATTTATGTTTGGGCTCTAAAAACGAGCAAACTTAAATACAGTATATGGTACTTTAATTTACGATTCTAGTTAAGATACGCAACAGTTTACCGAATCACTAATGCAAGAAATGGTCTCCCTTACCCCCCCTCCCCAGGTACAACAGGCTTGCCATTGTGCGTCCACTTGAGCTGATCGAAGAGGGTGAGGGTACACAAGACGGAGAACTCCTCTTTCTCTGCTACATAGTGCTGTCCATTGTATGTAACATGTGGAGACCAAGACTCACCTTCCCCATTAGTTTGTGCTCCATGTGTACCTCCAATACCTGGTAAAGGAAAACGATCTATACAGTACTGTACTCTTGACATGTAAAAGAAAAATATATTATGTATAAATATGTACTTATAGAATTGTACAGTTATTCAAATTACAATTGTACAGTTAACTGAAAAGTGCTATAAAGGATAATTCCATTATCTAGACCTTGCATATTAACCCTTTTGCACTTGTTTCAACTCCCCAAACAGTACTCATCCTGGGTCTAGATATGGTTTGAAAATATGGCATTTTATACATACATGTATATAGTATTAAAATTACCTGAACTTTTCTGTGGTATACTAAAAAAAAATTGGTAGAAAAATTAATAAAGTAATACATTTAGGAATCTACATTTTCTAAAAGAATGGTCCAAGCAACTAAAAATCATGCCATAAGTATTCCAAAGGTATACTGCAGACTATTATATATAAAAAAAAAACATAGGGTCCTCCCTACATATGGACAGGATGTTCTTAACTCTGAACCAAATTTTCCATAGACACTGATATAAAATGGCTGTAACATTCCACCATCCCCTTCCCTGCCTCTCTTCAAAATGAATGTAAATAAGAAGAGAATTAATGACAATAATGTAGCTGAAACACATAACCCAACTCTCACACTCACACGAAATGTGTGGAATGGGGAACAAATAAGCCATTACAGTATTTTTAATAATAATAATATAAACACTTTTCTTTTATTTAAATAGAATAATGGTGTTGCCCTCTTTCTTTGATTTTATGATTTCAGAAGAGTTAAGAGGTATAATTACTAGAGGAAGTGGTAAAAGGTGGTGAAGCATGGGCACTAGTGCATCACCAACACACCACCTCTTGTTATCAGCCATCGAGAAGGAACTTTTCCTATACTGCATAACAACTGAAATAGTGCATCAGTAATGTGGTTATTTCAACAATGGTTCATACAGAGAAACAAGACACTAAAATGGGGATTTGGAGGCCGTTCATAAATTTGGCGTAGTTCCGGTTTTCTAAATTTATACAGCACATGTACAGAGTATTAAGTTTCTAATTAATAAGAAAAAGGTGTGTTTTCCATAAACAGTACTGTACTGTATAGCATGCAAATTCAATTAAAAATGTTTTTAGATTAAGAAGCCTCCCTTGTTTAAAAGAAAATATGGTCCATAAAGTTCAATAGAAGACTATAAATGTTTCCAATATCATAAAAAAACTAAGTATGTAATAAGTATACAGTACTCAAAGAATTTTATGTAGTTTAGTACAAAAAAAATTCATTTTGCCTAGAATTTTTTCAACAATATAGAATATGTTCTCATATTTCTGGAAGGGCTGAACAGTAGCTCCCTGTTGCTACCAAAGCCGAGATATCTCCACACTTATATCACATCAAACTTACTATATAGCAACGCTTTAAAATTCCTTTAGTTGCCTACTGGAAACCAGAAGCCAAAACCTGGGGTCCCTCACAGAGGCACAGTGAGCAGGGAATTCACGATCACCCTCACCAAATAAACAAACCCCCAGAAATGAAGTGAAGCAAAAAAGACAACTGCAAAGGGTCACAGAAAGTAAACAAAGCAGCAAATGACTTAGCAAACAATCCACCCAGTAGTTAGAGGTCATATTTCACCTAGTAACAACTGGCACTATCAGATAGCAGCACTATGGGATCTGACAGCTACCCATGTCAACAACCATCAGGCCTCTGCCTGATGTCAGACATTCAGCTGCCACATGCCCACCTCCTAGGGCAAGGACTGTGCAGAGGCAAACCTGGAGTGATGCAAAAGCAGCAGCACCCAAGAATGCTAAAAGACCAACTCTCATCACTCCACTTGAGAGAATGGTTATAGCAAGCCATGCAAGGCCTCCAAAGAGAGGGTTACCCAAAAGCCAAGATGATACAGGAACCTCATACTACAAGCAATACAAAGCAGCAGACCTGAATTTAAAAGAAGACAGATCTGTGAAAGATGCGAGGTCCTGATCCTCAATGAGGAACCAAAAAAGATCCTATCACACAACCAAGGGCAAAAGACAAGAGTTTGGAAACTTCTACACCTAAGATGCTTTTTGGAACTCTTATTCTCATTATACTAGGAAAAACAAACCCAGACATACACAAAAGGAGGGAGCCATTGAGGAATTTATTTCCAATTATGAAAGTGGGTACAACAAACCCTCAGCTCAACCCTTTCGAGTTTCAGTGATACTAAAACTCTTGAGCCGTACTCCAACAGAAAATGTTCTGAGGACACTAAAATACATCATCTGATTGCTATGTATAAACAATTGTGTATTCACCACTATCATACATTATTTATTACAAATACAGTACTGTACACTGTTTTTGCCCCTGTTCTCTAGTAAATTCATTTGAGAACATTTTGACACCAAATTTATAGTTATATCCCAACAAATAACTTAGAAAACATAAAATTATTATAAACTTTTTTTTTGCATCACTGAGTGGCCCAGGAGCCACAGAATATTTATGATCGGAAACATGTCGAGAAGCAAGACAGCCAATGTATTAAGTGAATATTCCTCCCTAGAGGGAACCAACAACCAATCATGGTGAAAGGGCACTTGGAGACCTTCCTCGCAATCTCTTCAAGCCCCAGATTTCCCAAGAAGCATAGGCATCAATGCAAACCTGAGTTCCACTTCAGTCACAGCAGAAACAAAGGAGTCTCCACACATAGAGGGATCCACAGGCACAATACCCTGAGGCACAGAAGGAAGCTGACCATCGGCAGGAAACAACGGTTCAACTACTGTATGTCTAGTTTTAATTTTTTTTTTTATTATGAGGACATTTATATATACTTATTTAAACACACAAGATAGAAACACATTCAACAGGTAAAACTTTAACACTAGCCAAATAATGGTTACTCTAAGCTAAACACACCACAATGAAGATTTGGCACCTCACTGCACAGCCCAAAACACACCTCCCTTGACCAAAAGCTGTACTTTTCTGTGTGGTGAAATGTGCAGCGTGAAGAAAGGCTACACAAAAAACGTAGGAATGCTACCATACATTACACTAAAATATGCAGTATATAGTAAAGTACACTGATTTCCCATTAAGATAAATTTTGCACAGTACTGCACTCTTCCTAACAAATGTATATTTTACAGTACAATATATCCATATCTTCAATCTTACTGTCACAGTGGTATACTATATATTTAAATCAATGATATTCACCTTGCACCCACCATTTCCATAGCAATTCTCCATCTTTAAACATAATTCAGCATTAATGACCCTAGTGGTACCAGACAGTACTTTAAGCCATTAAGTCACCTGCAGGAAAAAAGTCTGCAGACCTAAGGACACATCTTATCTTGAGGTATATTCCTACAAACCCACCACAACCCAACCCCTTCATGTATGTTTACACTCAAAATGAACTTGCCAAGGCAACACCTCTGTCTATATAAATTACTAGATGAACCCTCATCTGGCACACCAATCTTCCCATTATACCCGCAATACACTCAATTCTGACACCGAGACCAGCTCATGTTATAATTTTCTCACTGTTGCCATACTTCTCACTTTATGGAGTAGAGGATATAATGTATGGAAAGGATGGAAACAACTTTAAGAATAATAATACTAAAGATATTGGTGCCAATAAAACAAAAATATTAGAGAAAATGTTGTTCCTCTTAACAGTTTTAAGAATTTTTATTCTTAATGTTTTATTATCTAAAAGTTATCTATAATTTTGTATACAGCTGTTACTGTATATTTACTTTCACATACCACAAGAGGCAACTGCAGGAAAACAATCACACTCAATGTATCCCAGGCAATATCAACCATGGCACTGCGCCACCCGACAAAACACTGGGAATGGTGGTGTGCCATCCAACTCTTAAGCGGTCAGGATATCGTAAGATTCAAGACATGCGCGCAACAGGTTTGGGTACGAGATGAACACACGGGACCTCCAGCGAGAGGCAGCCATCTTGAAAAAAAAATGATTCTCAGCATGCCCCATGGCTGTGGGTTGGCTCAGATCTGAGTGACCAACCTTGGGTGGTGAAGGCGCCTCTGGCACCCCATCCCCTATCGGACACAGTGTTGAAAGATCGCTCTCTGACAGTGAATTTCAGACCATATTGTTTGAAGAAGATAAGGGTAGTGATATTGATTAAACAAGACACGATAAAGACCTAACACAAGTGTTGGATACAAGTGATACAGCAGAGATGAGAATATACAGCGAACGTATCCAGTAGAGGGAGAGCGCCAAGCATGCTGCAGCCTCCCATGCCATCGCCCTTGTCATTAACACCACCACCTATGTCATCTCCACTTTTTTTAATAAAGTGATACTATAGATGAATCATTTTCTGGGTTCAGTGATGCTGCATCTGATACAAGTAGCATAGCTGAACCAAGTGTTAGTGACTTCCATAGTGGCATTACTATGCCAGTGGTGGTGATACTAGTAGGGGTACGGATGAATTCACGCGGGAAGACTGATAATTTTGTACCACACCTGACAGCTGAGTGGACAGCGCTTCAGATTCGTAGTCCTGAGGTTCTGGGTTCAATCCCCGGTGGAGGCGGAAACAAATGGGCATAGTTTCTTTCACCCTGATGCCCCTGTTACCTAGCAGTAAATAGGTACCTGGGAGTTAAGACAGCTGCTATGGGCTGCTTCCTGGGGGGGTGTATAACAAAAAAGAGGCCTGGTCGAGGACCGGGCCGTGGGGACGCTAAGCCTCGAAATCATCTCAAGATACTGTAACTTCAAGATAACCACAATCCACAATTTACGATACTGATGTTGCACCCAATTATTCATATACAGGTGAATATATGAGTGAAAGTGAATATTTTATGGCTTATTTTGATGAGCCGTTCATGCAACATCTTGTTGACAAAACCGACATATGCATTGCAAATGCAACTAATTGCAGGTGGCATATTACCTGCTTCACGTATGACATGATGGAAGGACACCACTGTGGCTGAATTTTGTCTTCTTAGCTCTGTCTGCTTAAGAAGCATTCTGTGGAACACATTATACAGGATTATTGGAACAAAGATAGCGCTGTTTCCAAGTCCAGTGTTCAAAAAGTACATGTCATGAGACAGGTTCCTGATGTTTCTATGGTGCCCACACTGTGAAAACATTGTAAATGTTGATCAAAATTATCGACTTTGGAAAGTGCAAAAAGTGTTTGGTGATATCAGACAAAAATTTTGTGATTACTTTGTACCAGGACAGAATTTTGTCATTGATCTTTTCCTAGGTCTTTTCAGTGTCGGATACTTGTGAAGTGTCAAGACTGCCTTAAACTTCACAAGCTTGGCTACATACCACCTACAGGAACTAAAGCCAAAGGTGTACGCGAGTACATTGTTTGCAAGCACACAGAACGAAGAAACAGGTAGCAAAAGTGTGTACCTGGTGTGTAGAGTGCAAAGTCGCGCTGTGCACCATGGACTGCTTCTTTGATTATACTGTAACTCGCTCCCGAAGTACCGAATGTGTAATACAGTGTGTGACTGTAAATAGTGTGTGAGAGTGTACATATTGTAAGTAAAATAAATATTGAACAAGTAATATTGCAACAATAACAAAATTTTGTGGACATATCAGTGACATGTATCACAGTTCCTTAGAACATTATGACTGTTTTACTGTATACATACTGTAAAGGACACAAATGTTCATCAGATACATTTAAAAAAAGTTATTAGAAAGCATTGAAAATGCATTGATAAAATAAATGAAAATATATTTGTGGCAATTTGTGAGTCTTGAATTGTCCGCGTAACTGCTTCAGGGAGCTTCCTGCACGGGTGAACACATCTCGATGACACATCGAATATTCTCCACGTCGCTACAGCCAAAGTAAGTACAGTGGTACCTCGAATAACGAATTTAATCTGTTTCGGCGCTGTGTTCGTCATGTGAAACGGACGTCATACAAAACGAATGTCCCCATTTAACCACTGTGATGTGCTGTGTTTATTGTGAAATTCCCCCAGTGTGCATGACATCAAGTGTTCCCAAAAAATCATTTTTCTTTATAAAATGATAAATTACCTTCCCTGAACATGGCTATGTAAAAACAATTACCAAATTCCACTTACTTTGGCTGTGAGGACATGGTCAAGGTGCACTGTGACGTCATCAGGGACTGGTCGCCCGTGTGTGAAGCTCCCAGACACGGTCGCGCAGGCTATTCAAGCACCGCATGTTGCCACAAATATATTTTCAAATATTTGTTCTATGTATTTCCAATGCGGTTTTATTTGTTTCTTTTATCGTATATGATGCATATTTGTGACCTTTACAATATGTATACAGTAGTATGTTCATAATGTTCCATGCAACTGTGATACATGAGTCAGTAATGTGTCCACAATAAATGTTAATTGTCACAATATTACGTGGTAAAAATTCCCTAAAATTACAATATGTACAGTTTCACATACTATTTACACAGTAACACACTGTATTACACACTCAGTACTTTGGAGGGGTGTAATAATCTACGGAGTAGTTAATGGTACACAGCACGACTTTGCTCTTGTTGCACCAGCTACAGATAGATTTTCGCTTCCTGTTTCATCGTTCTGTGTGCTTGCAAATAACGCACTTGCGTGCACCCTTGGCTTTAGTACTTGCAGGTGGTATGTAGCCAAGCTTGTAAAGCATAAGGTAGTATTGAAACGATTATAGGAAAAGCTCAAATTGTAAGGTAGTCTTGAAAAGATCGCTTTGTAAGGTCCCACACAGGAAGAGATTCAGCTAGCCTCAAAGAGTGTCCATCAGTCAGGAAGAGATTCAGATATTCTTGAAAATATCTATGGAAAACATCATCATAGAAGCCGCTAACACTGTTCATCTATGCTACTTGTATCAGATGCATCATCACTGAACACAGAAAACGATTCATCTATGTATCATCTATATAAATTGGAGATGGCAAGGGTGGGGCTCAGAGCTACAACTGGATACGCTCACTGTATCATGCTCATAGGTGCTGTATCACTTGCATCCGACCGTTGTGTTAAGTCCTTATTGGCCTTAGCTTCACCAATATTATGACCCTTATGTTCTTCAAACAATAAGGTCTGAATTTCACCGACTGAGCGCAATCTTTCAACACCGTGTTGGACAGGTGTTTGGAACCCAGAGGCACATGTGCCACAAATGGTTGCTTATGCAGTACCTAACCCAGCCCTAGTCTTTCATATTTGTAATAGCAAAAGGTTCGTTCAGTGTTTGTCGGGTAGGCTACATCATTATGACAATCTTTGTTTCAAATGTGTTCCATTTGTTTTGTATTTGTCACTTACATCTCAATAATGGAGCAGCCTACCCGACAAACACTGAACGAACCATTATGGCATTTGTCCATTTTTCAAATTGTTTCAACTCTTTTTATTTTTTGTTTTGTTTTTTTATTTAAGAAACATGGAGCAGCCTACCTGCCGACCACCGAACAAACCTTTTGCTATAAGACAAATGAAAAATAAATATTGAACACATTTGAAGAAAGGAAAATGTCATAATGGTTTGTTCAGTGTATGTAAGGTAGGCCGGTCGGCCGAGCGGACAGCACGCTGGACTTGTGATCCTGTGGTCCTGGGTTCGATCCCAGGCGCCGGCGAGAAACATTGGGCAGAGTTTCTTTCACCCTATGCCCCCTGTTACCTAGCAGTAAAATAGGTACCTGGGTGTTAGTCAGCTGTCACGGGCTGCTTCCTGGGGGTGGAGGCCTGGTCGAGGACCGGGCCGCGGGGACACTAAAAAGACCCGAAATCATCTCAAGATAACCTCAAGATAGATAGGCTGCTCCATTATTGAGATGTAAATGACAAATACAAAACAAATGGAACACACTTGAAACAAAGAAAGATTGTTATAATGGAGCAGCCTACCTGCCGAAAACTGAACGAACCCATTTCTTTTTTTTCTACAAAAAGTCAATGCTTTGCAACATCTCAGCAGTCACCCCTTTATATCCCAGCATCATTAGCATCTTTAAACAAGAACAACATAATTTATGTGCATCGTCGGAGGTGTCCGAGAATGTGCAAGAAGCAGCGCGACCCCACCATGTGGTGTTGACGTTACTCAAACGAGTGTTCGCCATACAGGACGATTTGACGCCAATCGGGCCGGTCGTTACCGAAAATGTTCGCCTTTTGGGGCAATCATTATGCGAGGTACCACTGTATAATATATATATATATATAATTTTTATTTTATTTTTTTTTTTATTTTTTTTTTTTTTTACATGTACATGTTCAGGGCAGGGATTTTAACAATTTATAAAGAAAAACAAATTTGGGGGAACACTTTTCCGCGCACCACCTGAATGTCACAATAAAAGCTGCGCAGCATGAAGGTTAAGGTTAGCTTCCATTAATTTGAGACAATCTGTAGACGTAATATTAAAAGGTGTGAGGGGGCGAATGTGGGGGAAGTGATAATGCACGAAATAGATAGTGGAGGAGAGAGAATGAGTGTGGGGAAGAATGAGTGGTGTGGGGAAGATGGTGTGGTGTGGAGAAAAGTGTATGTGGAGAGTGAATGTATGTGGAGGGGAGTGAGAGTGTGAGGGGGGAAGGGTGAATGTGGGGGGTGTGAGAGTGTGAGGAGGAGAGTGAATGTGGGGGAAGAGTGAATGTAGGAGAAAAGTAAGTGGTGGGGAGAGTGAGTGTGTGACTGCATTTTTATATTTAATGTAAAATTTGAAGCAATATAAAAAGCAAAATGAAAATACGGTATTATAATATATAAAATTGAAGTGTACCGATATCATTATTTTAGCAATTACCAATACAGTGAATACCACAATAAAAACACCACCAATGGTGTTACAGATACATCGGTACACCTCTCTTATAAAATAAATCTAAGATGCCAGGTAATGGACTATTGTAAAGAAATAATAATACTACAGTATACATAAATTTCATACATAGTTGTTAATACCCAACTCGAGCTTTAGTAATGTGGTGCAGTTTCAAGCCTTTAACAAATTTTTCTAGTGTTATACTGCACCAGCATTATCTATGTAGATTCTTCCATATCTGGAAAGTAAACTCAAAGCATTTAAAAATTAGCTCTGCCTTTATGACTGTGGCAAGCTATGCTGAGACAGAAAAAGACAGCTCTCTGCTGTATTCCAGCATAAATTACACACTGAAAATAATAGAAGAATTCATAAAATATAATAAAAAAGTGGTGATAAAAATAGAAATAAAAACTAATGTCCAAATACAATTTACACAAATAAAAATTGTTATGAAATCCAAACCACTGTAAAGGCAAATGTGCACAAACATGAATATGTTAGTGTCATCTTTGTTAATAAGGTTTCTATGCATTATAAGCAATCACACAAAACCATAATTCACACTCGCAAGGCACATTAAACACAATGATAAAACCATGATCATGCCAAATGATTAAGTTCTTTTTCTGGACAAAAAATAATCCATCTGAAGGATTACAGTACTGAATGGATGAGCTCACATCATGCGGATCTGAATAAATATAGATACAGTATGTGTATTTTTCTTCCATCCAATGGAGGTAATTTTTCACATCAACTTGCTGCTTCAAAATACGGATCAAACTCTGCATGGTGGAGCACTGGCAAGCCTCACTCACCCCACAGAGGGGCTTGGGTAGTGGCTGGTAGCCCTCTATAGAAAGCAGGGTTAAGCTGTCCAGAATCACTTGATACTATGAAGGGGGGGGATCCCATGTAGTCATGAGAATAGTCGTCTGTCCACAGAACCTCCCCCCCAGCTTGCATTCCACCGTAACCCTGACCTGTAGTGGCCAATGTAAATTTAGCCAATACAAAAATGTATTTTTCAGCTTTAGATTGGGAATATAAAGATAGTATTAACTTATTTTTTTCTCTCCTTGAGAGAAATGAACAGAATTACTCTGGGCAAGGAGTTTAGGAATATGTTCAAATGAATGGCAATACAGTATACCTATTTAAGCCAATATATTGATTCTATTGTATAACTTCTTTTGATTAATATGAACATTTGATCATTGAACCTCTTATACTTTTACCTCCTGGCTCCTGACAAATCCTGAAGCACCTATACCTCATCCTTCCTTAATTTCTATTTTTTCCATCAATTATCTAGATCTAAATAAATGAAAACATCTTAAAGTTAACCCATAAACTGCTCAGTAAAATGGGCAGGGAAGCTAAAAATATTAGAATTATGTAAAAATTACTTAAAATTTTTTAAACAAATCTCCAACTTATTGGCTTCAGCGTCGTGAAACTTTCATCAAAATATTTTCAGAAATTGATTTTAGACGATTTTTTTTAAATGAAGAACGTTTTGTTGATAAGGAGAACAGCTGCTATTAACTGGAACTGATGGATAATGCAGTAATAAAGAGATGCAAGCACCTGTCCAATGCACAAAGAAGAATAGTACTGTAGTAAGAAGTGTCCACATAATAAAACAAATAATAATGAGTAAGTATGTTATTATGCTCTATTTTGTTATACTATATATCATATAAATACATTGCCCAATGTTAATATTTGTTACTTTCATTAATATCAAAAAAATTAAAATTCTAGATTTTTTTTAGTTTATAGTTTTTTTCTCCTTTATTTATTATCTGATTTTGTTGTAACTTTCACATCCTGGAGAGTGCATACCAGTTCCTAACTATGTGAAGATAGAATGAAATTGGCCAACAAATATATCAGTCACAACTCGCAGAACTTGGGACTTTGAGTTTTTATTTTTTTTGGCTGATTTTTTCACAGATTTCAAACTCTACTTTCTTTGTCTCTTTAGGTTGTTTTGATGATTAGGGACCAGTATGGGGTTTTTTCACTTATATAAAGTATACCCAAAATATATCACCTAAATCATTATAATTATTATAACTATCCCTATATATTTTTTGGGGGGAGGGGGTATTTTTTCTTGATTTCACTTCAACACATATTGACCTACAACTTTCACATATTCGAGTACAAATGCAAAACAATGTTTATTAATATATACAACTAAATTGATGAATTAGAACTGCCTTATTCATTGTCGATAACTTCAACTTCAATTACCAGTACAGTACTGTATATCTATAACTAGAATTTCAACTTACTTCAGTATCCAAATATCTAGTTTCTGACCAATTCTCACCATTTTTATATATACAGTGGAACCTCGAATAACGAATTTAATCCGTTCCGGCGCCGTGATCGTCATGTGAAATGGACGTCATACAAAATGAATGTCCCCATTGACAATAATGGGAATCAAATTACAGTAATCCGTTCTACAGGGTACCACCGAAAAACATCAATATGATATTCGATGTTTTAAATAATGGAGCAGCCTACCTTACATACACTGAACAAACCTTTATGACATTTTTCTTTCTTCAAATTTGTTCAATATTTTTTTTTCATTTGTCTTATAGAAAAAGGTTCGTTCGGTGTTCGGCAGGTAGGCTGCTCCATGTTTCTTGAATAAAAAAACAAAAATAAAAAATGGAAAATTTTGAAACAGAACAAATTTCAAAAAGGTTCATTCGGTGGTTGCCAGGTAGGCTGCTCCATGTTTCTTAAATAAAAAAAAAAAACGAAAAATAAAAAAACGGTTGAAAAAATTTGAAAAACGGACAAATGCCATAAAGGTTTGTTCAGTGTTTGTCGGGTGGGCTGCTCCATTAAAGCAATCTTTCTTTGTTTCAAAAGTATTCCATTTGTTTTGTATTTTTCATTTATGTCTCAATAATGGAGCAACCTACCCGACAAACACTGAACGAACCTTAATGGCATTTGTCGTTTTTCAAATTTGTTTAACCATTTTTTTTATTTTTCATTTTATTCAGCCTATTGCGGCCAAAATATGTCACCTACGATTTTTTTTTATTTTCCCGTGCTCAGGAAACACAAATTAATATTTTTAGAAGACGAAATAATATTTTAATTTTTTTTTTTAGCGCACTGGAGTGTAAATCTCCTCAGGACCCCTTAGCAGCTTAGGGTATGTATTAAGAAACATGGAGCAGCCTACCTGCCGAACATCGAGCAAACCAATGTAAATGTGTGGCCACGTTTGTGGTAGAAAATAATAATAATAAAAAAAAAAACTTTTTGATATTTGTTGTATTTCAAACAATTTCATTTTTTTTTCTACAAAAAAGTCATAACATCTCAGCAGTCACCCCTTTATATCCCAGCATCATTAGCATCTTTAAACAAATACAACATAATTTATTTGCATCGTCGGAGGTGTCCGAGAATGTGCAAGAAGCAGCGCGACCCCACCATGTGGTATCGTCATTATTCAAACGAGCGGTCGCCATACGAGACGAATTATCTGCGATCAGGCCGGTCGTTACCCAAAATGTTCGCCATTTGAGGCGATCGTTATTCGAGGTACCACTGTAGTGTGCACAGCTGTCTGTTCTACAATCCCTATAGAATTGATTTTTCATAAACCCTAAACGTTTGGTGTTACAGTATAAATTTTTGTTGTCTAAATTTCAAATGCCATATTGACAATTTTTTTTTACAGTAAACTATACTAAAAACTTAAACAATATTCTAAATATACGAAAATGAAGATCACATGCTATTCTGAGAGCATAATAACACCAAATGAACAATTGGTAATATTTTATATTTTTGCAGCTGATTTCAAAACCTAAAGTTTTCAATATTCAATTTTATAATTTTTTTTATTTTCTTGGTTTTCAAGTTACGTTGGTATCATTTAGACAAAGTTGGAGCATTTGCCTAGTAGATTATGCACAAAACATTTGAAAGCGTTTCAGCAAATTTAAAAAACTGAGCTCTATGTCCGACTTCATGTGACGTTTTGCGCAGCTTAAGGGTTAAGCTTAATTGTCTAAATTCCTATCATCACTGCAGCAAGCAATTAAGCTTTTATAAAGGATTCATTACAGATAATTCTAACAAAGATAAACAGTTTCTGTACCTGCAAAATACTGCACTGTTCTTTAGGAGAAGATGCAATTGCAAAATGATCCTATTACAGCCAATATGCAATGATTGTTAATGTACTAAGCTCAAGCATGCTGGCATGTACCAGTTATTTAAAAACAAATTTACCAGCAGTGAGTTATGTATTTCTTAGCGGTTGCAAGAAAGGTCATGAGGCTAACGTGAACAAAGGTTTTCTTAATTACTGCCCACATTTTAAAGCAAACTGATAAAGATAATCTGCACGAGAAAGATATTGTTAGGTAAATTTCCATACTCTATTATTCGTTTAACCTAGTTTAACAAAAATATAACCTCTCATCCAAAAAGATAGAAATATGTATGCTTGATCATGTGAATCACATGGGCCCACCCTCATTCGAGTTAACCGGACATCTGAGTTAACCAACTTTTTTTTATCAGGAATATCTAAAATTTACAAAATAAAATTTATTTGGGTTAATTGTTCAACAAATACTGCTGTAACCTGAATTTCTATTAAAGTTGAAAAGACAAAATAAGTAAAAAACTAGCATGTGAATTCCTTCTGATTAATTGGAGATTCGGGTTACTAGAATCTAAAGTATTGAACTCCTACATTAATTGCTATGCAAGAAGTGTGAATGAAGGGCAAGATAACAGTGGAGAGAGAACCAGGCAAACTCCTACTGGTGATGAGTACGTAAAAATTCCAAAGAGGTTGAATAAGAATTACTACCAACATCCACTCTCCAATCTAAAAATGCCATGCTCAAAGATCCAACCAAGGAGAACCCCAAATTCCTGTTTAACACAGCAGGGAGGTCCTATAAATGAGAAGAGCTGGAAGAGAGACTAGATAGAAACACTTAAAGAGGAGGGATGGGAAATAGGGCTGAAGCAACTGCATAGTAGCATAAAAATCACACTGCCCACAATGACCTCCAGCTTCTGAACGACTACCAAGAACAACTGAACTAGAGGAAAAGAAAACCTGTCACACTGGATTAAGTCAAGACACAGTATATCCACTGCGAAAGTCTTAGGACTGAGGAATAATGCCATTCAAACAGATAACTTGGGCTCTACATAGATGCAAACAAGTCCAAATATGTCACAAATCCACTAAAAGGAGACCTTGTCCGGCTTCATTCCAATTGGACAAAACCAGTAAGACTGTTCACAAGCACATTCATCACCTAGCGAAGGCATACTGTCATGAGGACTAAATCCAAAAAAATCACTAAGGGATTCAGCATCCAAAGCCACAATAGGAGCTTCCCTACCTGAAAGAGTATCCCTCCTTCACCTTACTGTGGCAAAACAATACAAATGAATCATTCAAGATACAAAATCGATATCCTTGGGAAAGAATTGCGGTGGATAGCAAACCAAAACTTGCTATCCACCGCAAATGCTATATCCTGAACATTAACAAGCACCTAAGCCACACCACTTAAGCAAAGTAGACTTTGTGGCAGAATTTTCAAAGAACAAGTTAATACTGTAATAAGAAAACTACCTAAAAAGCCACCCTGAAATTCCACACCAGCCCTAGTATCCCCAGCCAGTTGAGGCATTGTTAAGGATGGATCCAGGAAATTATACTGTTAATGAGAAAGCTAAATTTGGCAAGCACCACCAACACATGATCCTCAGCTAGCAGACAAGAATGATGACTTATACTGTAGTCTAAATAAGCCAGTTCCAATCTACAAAAGTGGCAGCAGGGAAGACCCCCTCAATTATAGACCTGTATCATTGACAAGTGTAATAGTGAAAGTATTGGAAAAACTAATCAAAACTAAATGGGTAGAACACCTAGAGAGAAATGATATAATATCAGACAGACAGTATGGTTTTCGATCTGGAAGATCCTGTGTATCGAATTTACTCAGTTTCTATGATCGAGCCACAGAGATATTACAGGAAAGAGATGGTTGGGTTGACTGCATCTATCTGGACCTAAAAAAGGCTTTCGACAGAGTTCCACATAAGAGGTTGTTCTGGAAACTGGAAAATATTGGAGGGGTGACAGGTAAGCTTCTATCATGGATGAAAAATTTTCTGACTGATAGAAAAATGAGGGCAGTAATCAGAGGCAATGTATCAGAATGGAGAAATGTCACAAGTGGAGTACCACAGGGTTCAGTTCTTGCACCAGTGATGTTTATTGTGTACATAAATGATCTACCAGTTGGTATACAGAATTATATGAACATGTTTGCTGATGATGCTAAGATAATAGGAAGGATAAGAAATTTAGATGACTGTCATGCCCTTCAAAAAGACCTGGACAAAATAAGTATATGGAGCACCACAAATGGAATTTAATGTTTGTGAGGAATCAGAACCTCCTTGATAAGTCTGGTGAAAATCCTGGGAATCAGATTCTGGCTGAAAAGGAATGCCCACATTGGTAGTAAGGTTTCCTGATTCAAAGGCCAACTAGTTTACTTTACTGTACTTTACTTTATTACTTTACCATTGTACTCATTGCTATCATCTTTTATCATAATTGTTATATTGAATGCATATTTTATTGCATTATACCTTGACATAATCCTCAAATTATGCTACCATGTACCAGTTTATAGCCCTTAAATTTTACTTTAATGTACCTACTAATCTTTGTCAAATTTTCTTACAATGTACCTGTTAACATATTTTAAATTTTGCTAGAAATTACCTACTTAAAATTATCTGTTAGATTAAGGACCTGACTGAAATGCTGTGCTTACTAATGGTTTTACAAGAATGTAAAAACATCAATGCTATGTACTCTCATAAACCCAATGTACCTTCTTGTATATATATAAATAAATAAAGAGCTCCTGAATCTCTGGTGTAAAGGAACATGTCTGCAACAACCTAGAAGTTTGGACACATGTGCCAAGGCAGACTCAATCACCTACCAAACAGACACAAGTGGGTCAAACAGAAGATTGGGCAAAGGATGAGGGCATTAACCAACAAAAAATTTAAGAAGAACCTAAATCTGAGAATTTCCCTATTCACAACCCCCCCAAAAAAAGAGACATGACTAAGCCTAGTAAAATGCATCACAACAATTAAACCAATAACACCTAAATGTGGGTTTAGAGTAAACACCAAGTCTTGCAACCATACCCTACCCACACAAACATTAGTGGAGCCTATCATGAAAGGTCATGGGTCACCCTTCCTAAAGAAAGCAGAATTTCCTAGACTAAACCATAAAGGCACTGGCACCTCAGTCTTTCTACTCCTAGCTGGAGACCACTAAAAGATATAATGGTCATTGACAATATTGTTCCATTACATAAATTTGTGAAGCTGAAAAAAAGCCACGGCCATAGCAATTTATGTAAAGGACTTCTATCCAGAAAGATATGAATGGGCAAGAGAAACCTGTGACCAGAACAAAATATAAGCCACAAAAATGCCAACCACCAACTACGTAGTCCCTGAATCTCAGGTGGATACAAACATGCCCACACAAAGGTATTACAGTAACCATTTTGTATACCACGTGCACTACATTGCATTGAGCCAAGAAGTTGTGAATGTAGTAGTAATTTGAAGAGGAGAAACTAGTGCCTGTGCACCACCAAGCTGGACCTAAAAGAAGCAGATGGATATTTAAAACTGCATTACAAATGTGAACAACACAAATGAATTTGTCCTAGAACAAACTTCCAAGCAACAGAGAATGTAGTTCACTTGGAAGCTTGAGCACTAAAACATAATTTCCTTAAAACTGTGGCAATTTTTGAGCACAGTAAATAATGTGTGCATCACCTGATCAGAAAGGTTAGGCACCATTGGGAATGTCCAATAACTGCCTACAATCTCACTCTTGGTACTGGAAATCTCGATAAACCTAAAAGGCTTCCTACGACCCACAATAGTACAGTATATCATAGGTACTGTACAAGAAAACATTTTTCTTTGGAAATGGATATATTATTACAGTAGTGAATACTTGGAGAATGAAAACCTAAAAAAAAAAAAATTATCCATACCATACTGTTGTTCTTGCACATTAACAGTAATGCTGAGAAGCAAAATTTGACACCACTGGCTGCATCTTATGTGAACTGTGATGCTAATTAGCCTACCCAGTACGCTCATTATTACAAAGAAACTACTGTATTGTAAATTATAAAAATAAATTATTATTTTTAGAAAATATTTACTTTTTTCTTCTGGTATGAAGAATGAAATAATTAATTTGTGAGGAAATCGAGCCCCAGAGACCACTATTGATCATAGAGGTTAACAATTTATCAGCTGGCTATAGTAGTGTGAACAACAAACTACCCTGTGTGAAACCCACATGAGAGCATGTACTGCTAGAACAGTATTGGGGTCTGGCGCACCTTGACGTCCATAATGCAGCTCAAGATAGAGCAGAATGAGCCCATACTTAATAGCATCTCATGTATTGTTGCCAACAACCAGGTTATATGTACAAATGGAAATAGAAATTGCCTTATCTACTTAAACTAGCTAACTTAAGAGTACACATATTCTTCCTACCTCCCCCCCCCCATACACCCACCCCTAAAAATAGGTCCAATTAATATAGTACTGTAGGTGTTCAGCACATCTTTGAGAGGAAACCATATCAAATCGTGCAAAAGTTTCTCAGGAGTAACTGGAGATTCTTCTAAATAACAAACACTTGGCCTAACCTAAGGATTGTGATTGCCTTGAACACAGGCCCATGGGACCAGAATAAAATATATCACTGCATTCTACTCATAATTCTGGTTCCATTGACGCATATCCAAATTGCACAACACCCCTTATGGGGTATCAGGTCAAGTTACATTTGGATACGTTATTTGGCTATGGTTATTTTTAGTTAGAAGCAAATTGAAAAAAACATAAATGAGGGAATAACCAAAAACCCAAGAGTATCCACAATACAGTACTTATGTTTGGTAAAGATTAGTCATTTAAACAACTTCTTTAATTACAGTACTACTATTGATACTGCAGAAACTTCTGATATAGCCTACTTCCAACTATAACCTGAACAGTGTTATCATCACCAATTTTGAATACATTTCCAAATATTACACAGGTAATTATAGTCCCTCTACAGTGGTATATGCTTTGAGACCATTGTGGTATAGTATTTAGAAACAGAAAATCTGAGCAAACAATGTCACAATATCTTGGCTGAAAATTAAGACACCTAACTCACACATCTGAAAATAATGGAAGTGACAACATTTCAGCTCATCCTTGGCTATTATCAAGGGGTCTGTCTAATTACCACAAGCTACACAAGCTTCATAAAGCTTCCTGGCAATGCGTTAGCAATGAATAAATATGATATGTTAGGTTAGGCTGACCTAACCTAACCTATCCTAACCTATCCTATCCTATCCTAACCTAACCTAACTTAACCAAACCTAACCTAACCGAAGCTTGGATTGTCGACTTGATTTGGCGTCACCAGCTTTTTATTTTCGTCTAATTTCTTTATAAAAAGATACTTTTTCAGATTAAAATTATGTTTTTTCGTGTTGTACTTTCAGCACCAACATTATATTGAGTAAATATATCATATTTATTCATAACATTATATTGAGTAAATATATCATATTTATTCATCACTAACGTATTGCCAGGAAGCTTTGTGAAGCTTGTGTAGCTTGTGGTAATTAGACGGACCGTTATCAAGTACGGTATCTGACAACGTGATACCGTATTCCAGTATGAAACAATAATGAGAGCATAGTCTGCTAGTCTCACCCCATACAACCTGATCATACGAAGGAAAGGAAATTATGAGATGCCACTAAACCAGTATGACTACATGTATATTGCACATGGAAGGGATAAGAGGACAGGATAGGAGTTGGGACGGGAGAGAGTGAAGCAATAATACCCAACCACCTGGACCACTGGGGATTTAATGCTGACCTGCAAGAAGCAAGACTGTCACTATACCAACAATCCAAGTGGCTGGACCCAACCTAACCTAATCTAACTTAAGAAAGTTGAACCTAATATAGTCTACCCACCGCAGGTGCAAATGCCAAGTAATCAACTGTTTAAAATCCAGATAAAGACAAAAATCCCCAGGAACAATGGGATGGTCTTTAACAGGCCACCAGCTTCCTGTCCACATCAAGGCCACTAGGGAGACAGTGGCCCTCGGGTAAATTCAGGTAAATATGAATTTATTCAACTGCATAAATTAAAGCTTTACCAAAAAATAAAAAATAAATTATTTCATTATGATTATACCAGTATATAAGTATATACAAAGCAAATATAGTGCACAATAGTAGCAACACTAATTCATCAATAACCTTCATAAAAATATGAATCATTAGCCAGTAACTGGAAATGGGTGGTTCTATAAAGGCATTTCACATGCATCTACGGAACATACACAAACTATGTATATATGTTAAAATAGGTAAACCTCAAACTCAACCAATTATACCATTGTGGTTGGAACTATACTACGACTCCAGCAAGCAAGATATGCAAGGAGAAATATTGATTCTTGGTTATCGCTGCAGTTACGGCTTCAGCAGAGTAAGAGAGAGTCTGCTCTTATTACTAATTTAAACACACCTGAAGGGAACATTTACTCACCCAAACACACCCCCAGGAGGCCCAGCAACACTAAACTGCCCACACTCCTCATTGCGACTTCGAAGAAATAAGAGACAAACTTAAACAAGGAATACTGTTGTAGTTTAGGAAGGCAGGAGCCCTGTTCTGGCACCTCGAGCGGTGTCGTCGTCTGCTGGGCCCAGAGGCCACGGTGCCAAGTCTCTCCCCCCTCCCATCCCATCTCCCGGCACTCTATATATATATATATGACACCGCACGCATTATCAAACTAAGACAGTAGTACACTAGTGTATTAATAATAAATATATCCTTAAATTATCAATATATCAGGTGGATTTAAATAACTACATTACCGAATAACAAGTATAAAACTCCAACATTTGGCACCTTTCTATTACGTCACACGACACAATATGCTAATTCCGGAGGGCAATTTAAATGGTTTACTTATGTAGACTGGGAGTATTCCAGCCCGTCGTGCATACTCACATCCACCTAAGTAAAAGCTACAGGTTACCGATTAAAGCAGTTGAGCAATAACCGAGAGGTTGGGAAACACCCTCTCAGATCCTTATTCGCATGGCAATATATTTAATAATAGCAATAATGGTTTCATTGTGTCGGAGGGACAGGCAGCCAGTATATATATATATATATATATATATATATATATATATATATATATATATATATATATATATATATATATATATATATATATATATATATATATATATTGCCTCGATTCTTTCCTCGTGGAGGAAAGAGGAAATTCTTTGTGGAGGAAAGAATCGAGGCAATTACAGAAGCACCATATATATATATATATATATATATATATATATATATATATATATATATATATATATATATATATATATATATATATATATATATATATATATATATATATATAAGATGAACATAAGATGAATTGTTCGTAGGTTTTCTGTAGAAAACCTGCACTGCATTATTACGGCAACTGCAACTCCTCCCAGGTTCAAGCGCTACCACTGCTCCCCTCAGGTTCAGGCGCTGCCACTCCTCCCCTCAGGTTCAGGCGATGCCACTCCTCCCCTCAGGTTCAGGCGATGCCACTGCTCCCCCTCAGGTTCAGGCGATGCCACTGCTCCCCCTCAGGTTCAGGCGATGCCACTGCTCCCCTCAGGTTCAGGCGATGCCACTCCTCCCCTCAGGTTCAGGCGATGCCACTGCTCCCCTCAGGTTCAGGCGATGCCACTCCTCCCCTCAGGTTCAGGCGATGCCACTGCTCCCCTCAGGTTCAGGCGATGCCACTGCTCCCCTCAGGTTCAGGCGATGCCACTGCTCCCCCTCAGGTTCAGGCGATGCCACTGCTCCCCCTCAGGTTCAGGCGATGCCACTGCTCCCCCTCAGGTTCAGGCGATGCCACTGCTCCCCTCAGGTTCAGGCGATGCCACTGCTCCCCTCAGGTTCAGGCGCTGCCACTCCTCCCCTCAGGTTCAGGCGATGCCACTGCTCCCCTCAGGTTCAGGCGCTGCAACTTCTCCACTCAGGTTCAGGCGCGCAACTCCTTCCCTAACAAATGTTACAAAGATGTGTAAATATTTAATTCAAAGTGATCTGCTACCAGAAATCTTAGCCAAATATCCCCAGTTTGCTAACTGTAGGTAGTAACTAAGTGATTGTACCCTATCCACTGCTGCCCACTGGATGGGGGGCGGTGTGCAGGACATGTGGTAGTACTGTGCTAGTGTCACAATATCAATTGTGACATTAGCTCTCCCCATATGTCAGTTGCTTAATTTAGAAACTGTACTTGTGGTCGATCTCGAACACAATAATGAAGTGACGATGTGTATTGAATACTTGCTCATTAAGATTGTAACTTGCTTAGCTAAATTAATTGTGGGGTTCAGTTCCTGAGCCCATTATGTGCCTCTAAACCTTTCTACTACCGCCCACAAGTATGGGTATGGGGTGCATAATAAATAAACTAAACTAACTAAACTTCCTGTCCCCCGATACAATGTATTATTATTATTATTATTATTATTATTATTATTATTATTATTATTATTATTATTATTATTATTATTATTATTTATGGCAGGGCGATTCAGATAACGCTGGATGAGGTGTTGGAGAGGCTCCTCAACTCTCCGCCAGATGGCAGGCCGTCATGTTTTGGTGTTCCTTTCCAGCGTCCGATTCTCCCACTCTTGCATGAACAATCTAACGCACTACCACATTATTACACTCATTCGCAACATCTCCACAGCTCAGCAGCTTTTAAATAAACTAAAATACATAAATTAAACAATTATACACTCTTGGTTTAGGATAAAAATGTTAATAACCTTTCTGTGCATATAATAATCCGAGGAGTCGAACACCGTAGTAAATCAGTTGAGATGAAGATGGCGGACCAGTCTGTCGTTTTGCGGAGAAATCGACCGGGTACTAAAGCGGAGGTAGGCTATCTGGTGGCTTGGTGACAGATGGGGAAGACATATACACACATTTCACATGCTGCAAGCATATGCATTATCATAATAATTTTTTTATTTATAGTGACCAACATCTCCGTAGAGAAGCACGATCTGCCTGGTAGCATATTTTCGTTTATTTGTAACTATTATGTGTTAATTAAGCAGACTCCTGTTCACTGTTGTATAGTGTTTAGAACGCGCTCACCTTGCATACGGAAATGACCCAGGGTCGAGTCCTGAGCGGAATGGAAATATTAGTCATCATTCTTTCACTTTTGCCCCTGTTCACTCCCGCTAATCGGAGACTTTTTTTAATTAACGCATTTAGGTACATCTACATTTGTGCAGATACCCTAGACTATATGAAGGGAGTACAGTGTGTCAAAAAGCTAGCTACGTGATGCTAAAAATCCCCATCACACAGGATGGTTAGTCATACAGAGGCATGTGATAAGTAGTCTACACTGGCAGACTCTGGGTGTATTATGAGGATATCATGAACACAAGAGTGAATAAGGTAGCAGTGAAAATTAAAAGTCCCCATCTCGCAGGATGGTTAGTCATACAAGGTCCTATGTTCAGTAGCTAGCATTGGCAAATTTTGGGTGCAATATAAGGATATCCTCAAGAACACGAGAATGAATGAAGTAATTGCAAAGCTCCAGGTACCATAAATAATTTTAGTTAGGCTGAGTTACATTAGGCTGTGTTACGTTTGGTTTTCTTCAATGGGGTTAGATTAGGCTAGGTAAGGTTAGGTAGGTTATAAAATCCATCGGGGAAACCATATTGGGTACAGGGTGATTTGTATTTGGGCATATTATGGTACGCCAATGGATTTTTGGTTATGTTCAAATCTTTCTAACTCAACCTGCATATTCTACCTATCTTGACTTAATCTAACCAAACCTCATGAATATATATATTTATATAATAGATAATATACACATACAGCTGTAGCTTTTAGACATGTTTCAGTTTTACTTTTCCCTCTAACATTTAAATAAGGATTGTAAAAATGATTGATACAGGCCCGTAGGAAACTTTATTACTTAGACATGCAATGCTGTAGGTGTACAATTCTGTAGCAGTTAGCACACTTCAGAAAAAGAGAGGTTCTGGGATTGAATTCTGGGCACCATTTCTTACCCCATCCCTCCTGTGCACCCAGGAGTATTGTAAATGGGACATGGTTGTTGTTCCCTTGAATTGCTCACAGACACATCAGACTTTATTTCGAGCTTTGCTTCCAGCTCTCCACATCAGTCAGGGGTTGTGGTGTTCTTGCCTGCAGCGAGCGCATATCTCGGTTCGAGTTTACCTGGAGCATACGTGGAGAGGGGTTTCGAGTTCTTCTACCCTGGCCTGAGGCCAGGCTTGACATTGTTGGGGGTTATGACACACAATTCAACCTTGGGGCTCTGTGATCTCCTAATACAGATTTGGCCTGGGTGGTCCATTGCTTGATCAGGGGTAGGTACAATTGGTCCCTTTCCATATGGAAGTGGACTCTGCTGATAGCCTCATTTTTCACTTTCATATTTGCATTTTCCTTTGAGACAGGATTATGAAATGGCTTGGCGTGTCTTCTGCCTTTTTCTTAATCTCGCTCATTTGTGCTCCATTTCTGTTCCAGTGGTCATGTTATTTCTATCTTGGCTCATTAGAATGCTACCTTTTCCAGTTTTTCTTTGGTGGAGCCTCTCTTACTTGCTTTTTGGGTAGTTGTTTCTTTTACCCCCTTTTTTTTAATTTTTTTCTGATATTTTTAAACCTCAGGCAAGCTTATGTGGTGATTTGGACAATGGGTCCAAGGTAGCAGATTTAAACCTTGTCAGATTTAATGGTGAAATTTTTAATTTTTTTATTTTTACTTCTTACTGATTTAGATTTCTGCATTATTTAACCAGAAATGTTTCCACATCACTGCATGTTTTTATTTTATTTTGTAATACACTACAGTACTGAATAAGAAAAAACATACGTCAAACTAGGACTGCAGAAGTTACTCAACAATGTCACAATTTGCAGAATATTTTATAACATTAAATTTAATTTCAGAATTTTTACCGGTGGTGTGATGAGGCTTATGAAGAGATGGACTCCACCCTGGTAGTTCAGCAGTACATCCAACAAACAATTCGTCTTGACCATAATAATATTGATACCATTCTTAATGCTCCAGAGACCCAAGATGAGGGAGTATGGAAATATGAGCATCTTAGGTGAGACTGTTTACCATGGTATAGGCTTATTTAGTTTGTTTATTTACAATTTGTTTTGTTTCACTTAATTTTCATGAACTATGACTACTAATTTACTAAAACTGTGTACTAAATTAAACTATTTTCTTTACCTCTAAATGGTTTGGCTAATTAAAATGCCCTACATTGTAGTGCACATAACTTAAAGTAGTTTACAAAACAAGTGGGAAAAATCACATATGGCAATTCAAGCACAGGAGATAATTGCAGATATTGATTGGAGCTGTGTAGAGGTTATTGCAGTCATCTCTTGTGAGCCGTTCTTCTTACATGTTTTTTTACTTTTTTCTTTCTAGTGACCAATTTCCAGTAATGAAAGTCCTCTTATAGGCCAAAACTAAAAATTTTGTGTGTATTGATTCTGATTGACTCTGAATTCTTCCACTGACTTGATATTTTTTGCCCAAATATTTTATACAGATATTTTAACATTTTTGCCACAGTAGTGATTTTGTATGAATATCTATAGTGTGCCTTAACCACTGTGATGCACAAGTTTATTGTGACGTTCCCCATGCGCATAAAATCAAATGTTTGCAAAATTTTTGTTGATTTTTGTAAAATGATAAATTCCCTTCCCTGAACACGTATATGTAAAAAAACTTAAAAATTCCACTTACTTTGGCTGTAGGGACGTGGAGAAAGGGCATCACGAGCTGGTCGCCCAAGCTCCCAGAAGTGGTCGCGCGGGCCATTCAATACCGCGAGTTGCCACAAATATATTTTCAATTATTTGTTCCATGTATTTCCAATGCGGTTTTATTTATTTTTTTTATCGTATATGATGCATATTTTTGTCCTTTACAATATGTATACAGTATAACGTTCATAAAGTTCCATGGAACTGTGATACATGTCAGTAATATGTCCACAATAAATGTTCATTGTCACAATTTTACTTGTTAAAAATTTCACTAAAATTACAGTATGTACAGTTTCATGCACTATTTACACAGTAACATACTGTATTACATACTCAGTACTTCGGAAGTGAGTGATAATCAACAAAGCAGTCCATGGTACACAGCAGTCCAAGAATTAGGTAAGTGATAAAGGTTATTAGGCAGAGAGGTGACAATATTTTTAGGTTTTTATATGCTCTTCCTGTATATAATAGTATCTGTTGTCAATTTCATGTACTGTATCTAATTAGAAATTTTATTTGCAGACAGTTTTGTATGGAGCTGAATGGTTTAGCAGTGCGGTTACAGGGAGAATGTCAGCCAGCCACTTGTACACAAATGACAGCAACAGAGCAGTGGATATTTTTGTGTGCAGCACACAAAACCCCAAAGGAGTGCCCTGCAATTGATTACACAAGACACACACTTGATGGAGCGGCTTGCCTTCTTAATTCTAACAAATATTTCCCTAGCAGGTTTGTACTTTGTATTTTTTGAAGAATCGCGGATAGATTCCAGAAAGAAAGTAGGCTAATAGTAGTGTGTGTCCTACTTCAATGGATTCGATGAATAACCTAACAAGCACAGTGCTATGTCACATTGTTCAAGGTAGAATTGAGAGTCAAAGCAAAAAAAAAAAAAAAATTGTAGCACATATTTAAGCAGGGTGAGGATTGAAGGTAGAGGATAGTACTGTAGTTTATCCTTCAGTAATCTCATGCCTTTTGTCAGTAGAGAATCTGGAAACAAAGTGAAGCAACTTCCAGATAGAAATACGATGGTTTTAAATTTTGTGAAAATTAAACTGTTAATAACGAAAATACACGAGTGGACTAAGGCCGAGGACTAACTTTCCTGCTTATTCTTCACTTAATTGTCCCTAATTCTGTGAATATTTTGCAAGTGTTCAAGATTACATGGAATTGATTTCTAGAGTTCTACTCTCCAAGCCAGGCTTGTTTTGTAATAACTAGTATTTGATGGTTATACTTATGGCACCTTTACTCTTCATTTGGTCTCTTCTTGATTTTCTACCATATCTTTGGCTCCAGTAAGTTATAATCTATTGTATACATTTTTGACCTGGCCTTCTGGTATCTTCTGTATATCTATTATATGATATTTCTCTTGCCTTCTTTCCAGAGAGTACATTTTGAATGCTTTGATATAATCTCAGTTATTTAGGTTCCTTACTCTGTATGCATGGGAAATAATAATTCCTGTTGTCGGAGATAGGAAACCTGTACTTAGGCTTGTATCGAGGTCCTTCCAAGGTCAAACTATTGACCTCTTCCAAGATGCAACCCACAAGGATTGTACCTGGGATTCTTGATTGTGAGTAGTGAATGCAAACCACTGCTGCAATCTCTACTAAAAGGCTTCAGTTATGGCAGGTAGAAGGATATGTTGGGGATCATCTTACCTAAACTTATGTTGGGGATCTTTCATATTGTTCACTCTAGTATGTTGTTATTTTACTGTGTAGATTTGGGACTTGTTTCGAGAGATTTGATCATTTGTTTACAGTGTTGGGGGAAGTTTGTTTGGCAGTTTTTGAGGCGTTAGTTTCTCTAAACCCAGAAGTGGTTTGCACCGGTTTGCTGACTTTCCGGTTGCTTTCCTGTTGGGATGGAAGAATGTCACCTGCTCTCTGCACCTCTGTGTAGAGGGTTATTTTCTTGGTCTAGCTCACGGTACGTCAAACAAAACTCCTTGGCTGATGTGACCTAGTAGCTGGGAGCCATCTTGGCGAGCTAACTTCAGGAAGCTACTGGATTTCACCCAGAAAGAGGCGTTTCATGACATTCAATGCTGATTTTTTGTATGTGAGTAATACCATATACAGTATTATCTACATTTTCTGCCAAGTTGGTCTCTCGATAATTTTTGAGAATTTTTTAATAATTAATGTTATTGATAAAAATTCAAACTAGAATTCTTAAGTATATTTCTCAATATTGTTTTTACCTTTCTAGATTGTCCTCATGTGATCACTTCTTATTGTGTATTAAAGTGTGTGTGTGTGTAATTACCTAAGTGTAGTTATAGGATGAGAGCTACGCTTGTGGTGTGTGTGTGTGTGTGTGTGTATAGAAATCTAGACATGCCCAATCAGAGTAAATGGGCCTCATGAAGGTGAGACTTACCCCGTATAATGAGGATTATGCTAAACAAGAGACATTTTCTTCTTTAAAGGAAAAAATCTTGACATCTACTATATTTGATTTCCTCACTTATTTTACTTTCATGGACATTTAAGATGTGTCTTTATATTTTAGAGTGAGCATCAAGGAGTCATCAGTGGCCAAGCTTGGGTCAGTGTGCCGGCGTGTGTACAGGATATTTTCACATGCATATTTCCACCATAGACAAATCTTTGATGAATTTGAGGTATGTTATGTTTGTCAGTTGTTGCACTTGGATAAGATTAAACAAGATTTGTCTCGTGCGCTGCATGTGTTAACATTCCCTCTACATGAGGGAAGTTGTCTCAATGTTGTGCTCTGCATTCCACTTGTTTACACAGATTGCCTTTTATTGATGATCTCATAGTTTGTTTGTTCTTTTTATTTAATAAGAGACTTCATTAATGTGGTCCCCACTTAAGATTTTGCTGTTTAAATTGACAGTATTTTTGTTAGGTAATTGTTTCTCATTTGATGTTTTCCCTCAGTGACCCTGTTAAAGTATTAAAAGTGAACTAGCATCGGTAAATGATTCAATGTTCCTAAATAATTAGCTATTCTGGTATCGCTTATTAATCCAGTTCCCAGTGGTTAATAATTCGGTAATAATGAATGAAATGGCTTTACTATACTGTACAATACTGTATATCTTTTTGAACATTACAGTAATAATTTAGTCTTATAATGCATTCTGTTAGTACAGTGTAATCTCAATAGAATGGACTACTGTAGCTGGGACTGGATCTATCCTGAACCTTTAAGAGTTCCATTATATCAGTGTTTTTGCCATTTGTCACAAATTTTTCAAATGATAGAACACAGCTCTGTGCATATGTTATACACCAAAATAGAATTCAGTACAGTATAAACAATTCACTTGTAATTAAAATATTTGGAAAAGTATGGCAATAAAAGATAAAACTTAATGGAGGACAAGAAAAAACTGTTTTGTATTTCCTTCTGAAGTACAGAATATTCTTATTGCTTATTGCTCTCTGTAAGGGGAATAGAGAACAAGGACTTGCAGTCATGTACTGTTATCTGTTATTTACACTTGTGATACTATTTAGAAAATTATATACAGTATATAATTCTATAAAGTCTCATCTTTGAGTGGTTCCTTGATGTGGTGAGGGGGCTCTTGTGTGTGTCATCTGTGGGTAGGTAAAGGTGGCTTCTGCTCCTTTCTCCTGCCCTCTGTGGTAGTGCACAAGTGAAATACACTCCCATGTGTTCGCTGTGTATGGAGACTTATGCATTCCCCAGTGTTTCCTTCATCTGGTTGTTGAGCCTTCCTAGTGGATGCAACCCCTGGGGACCACAATATGCCTTTTTTTGGTGGGGGAGACAGGTAACACGGGTGGTTCAGAATGGTCCACCTGAATCAATTGTCTCGTCTAATTACCTCATGCAGTCAAACATTGGGTCAAGTGGGCATTGCAGGTATGGTATCCCTATTGGCCCCTGGGATACTTTTCAGACTCTTTGCTGGTGAACCCCATATGTCTGTTACTCTGAGGTTGCCCATGTGCTTATTCCTTCCTTTGTTGAGCTCCGTGATGGGTGGGGATGCATGGCAGCAAGGTGTGATTCACCTTTCTTAAATGTCTACTTCTGAACGTCTCTCTCCTCAAGACTTCAGATGGGTGACTTGGCTGCAGAGTCTGACTGTGATGAAAGATCGGACTCATAGCTGTATGATGAAAGATCGGACTCATAGCTGTGTGATGAAAGATCGAACTCATAGCTGTGTGATGAAAGATCGAACTCATAGCTGTGTGATGAAAGATCGGACTCATAGCTGTATGATGAAAGATCGGACTTTATGATGGTTTGATGGTCTCATTTCCATTGCTGTCAGCCTCTTCCACCACCATTACTTTGCAGTTACTTTGTATCCAATCTTGCAGCAGCATGAATTGTAGAGTGATTCACAGGTTGGATCAGAGGGGTCATATTTGGTGGAAAATCTATGCACATTGTTTTGCCATCCACTGATCTTAAACTGTTCACATCATGGTGTGTTGGGCATTATTAACTAGCAATAATGCCTGCACATCATCAGTCTTCAATGCCTCTATTCAGTTTGAATTTCCCTCCACTGTACAAAATTTGTTGTGAAACCAGTCCACAAAAATTGTATGCATTGCTGAAATTGTAATGCAGAGGAAATATGTGCTGGTGGTCTTTTTGAAGGCTTTTGCTGTCTTGCCTCCATTACAGTCTCGGCTTTGTGTCTACCATTGACACTGCCACTCACCATAGCCAAAAGAGGGTCATGGCAACCTATAGCCTAACAGAGGAAAAACACACACTCCATCAGTTTAATCCACATAATAGATTTGAATCGAGTTGAATTCATAGCTTTGTAATTCATATATATATATATATATATATATATATATATATATATATATATATATATATATATATATATATATATATATATATATATTATACAGTATGTAGAATAATTTTCTTTTGTTTGGATGCTTGCAGCTGCTTAAGCATTTGCATGATCTGTATGCTTCTGTATATTATCTTGCTGACTATTAATTTGTTTTATTGATTTTATTGACTCAATTTTTTTAATTATAATTGTTAATGAATTTTGCTCTATTAATGTACCATTTTTGGAGAAATGTCTTCTTGTCCCAATAAAAATAGGAAGAAATCATAATTTTTTTTTTTACTCCACAGTCTGAAACCACTTTGTGTCGACGGTTCACTGTTTTTGTGACAAAGTATAATCTCATGTCCCGAGACAACCTCATTGTTCCTATCCTAGAGGATGAAGGTGCTGGACAAGGGGAATCTGAGGCATAGAAAAAATCAAGCGAGAACATTATTTATTAACAAGTTACAGCATAAAGAATAGCCAGCTGGTAAGTGTTTTATGGGTGTTGCTGTAATCTGCATTGAATGTGTTGCTGAAGAAATTTTCACCGAGAATGAAAATAGTTTTTACAAATCTTTCTGGTAGTTTAGGGCAAGTCACTTCCCATTATGTAAACATTATTGACAGCTTTATATGATAACAAATCAAAGGATGATGATACGCATTTGGATATTATGCGCTTGTGTATGAATGTTTATCTGGTTCATCCCAGGCCTCTAACATTCTTCTTGTACTGTATAGTATTAGCTAAGAATACGTTGAAGAGCCTAAACCTTAAATTATTTATGTATCCTTTGAGATAGCTATTTATATCATTTTCAGTTAGTCTAACAAAATTAGTTTTGAAGGTTGTATCAATTGAATATGTATAGTACTGTATTTGTAATTTACAAATTAAAAAAAGTGTATGATAACTTCAAATTTAGTCTTAGTATTTTTTAAAAATGGTTTCCTCCCTATTCTTAGCATTAATAAACTAAATTGTACAGAAGCATTACATTGGTTTAATTATGTTTTACTGTGTATGTAATTAACCTTAGCGGGAATTTTGCTGTGTTTTATTTTTATAAGCTGTACAGTACTATAGTATACAGTAATCAAATTCTAGATCCTGGAATCCAACCTATTTTTCCAATAGGATTCTTAGCCAAGTACATGACTGTCAAGTTTGATAATGTCAGGAAATGCTCTGCTGTGTAAAATCTGGAGTTTATGGTATGCAGTAGAATTTTGAGCACTATCAAAGAATTCATTTTGTTATACAGCAGGTAATATTCTTTGTATGGAATTAAAATACTGTACAGTACTTTTATAAGTGCCAAAAGACCATGCTAAAAACACTTGGAATAATACAGTACTGTACTGTAATATGATGAGATGAACACAGTCAATAATCACTTCAAATAACTGAGAAATGTTCCTGGATTTGATTATAGCACAGTAGCTGGTTTTTCTGGGAATCCCTGAAAGTAAAGATTGGAGCCAAGGGCCTCGCTAATAAATGCTTACCTATCAGTGACTACGAGGTAGTGAGATCTACTTTTTTATGCCCTGTCTCCTAGCTGTTCATATCTGGTGAATTAATTACCCCCCCTCTCAACATTATAAAGAAATATGATGAAATCGTTAAAGTTGTGGATTGAATTGGCTTTTACAATCTCTAACTGCAATGCATACGTGGAGAGAGTTTTGGGAGTTTTTCTACTTCCTGAGCCTGGCCTGGGGCCAGGCCACGTCAAGCTGGAGATGTTCATTGAGTTCTCTCTTGAACATACCTGGGGAGGTTTTCCATGTTTTTTTGTGGGAAATTTTGTAGTTTTCTCAAATAGGAATGGTATTTGACCATTCCTCAGAAAGCTACCCACAATGGTTGATTAACAACCACGTTTCTAATTATTGCTAGGTCAACAGAGGCTATGGGTGTAAGTCCAGGTGTCTCGGCCTGCCCCAGAACACAGTGTGAGATCAGCCAATTATGCCCCTTAGATGTAGTAGGAGCGTGTTAATAAGTCCTGGGTCTTTGATATTGATAGTTCTCTCTCAGCATATCTATTGCACCTCTACATTTCAGTGGGACTATTTTGCACATCCTGCCATTCCTACAAGTTTCGCATGATGTTATTTACATGTGCAGTTTTGGACCGAGTCCCTCCAATATTTTCTATTTGTAAATTATTATGTCTATATCTTGTCTGTACTCTAGGGAATACAGATTTAGAACTTTTAATCAGTCCCAGTAATTTAGATGTTTTATAGAGTGGATTCTAGCAGTAAAAGGTCTTTACCCACTCTCCAGGTCAGCAATTTCTCCATCTTTGAACAGGGTTGTTAGTGTGCAACAATATTCCACCAGAGAGAGCACTAGTGTCTTGAAAAGTATCATCAATGTTTTGTCATTCCTTGGTTGAAAGGTTCTTGTTATCCAATCTGTCACTTTTCTTGCAGTTGTGACGGCTACTTTAATGTGTTCTTTAAAGGTAAGGTCTTCCTACACGATTACTCCTAAATCCTTTACATTGCTTTTTTGTTTGAAAGGGTGATTTGGCTGCATTTTATATATGATTTCCGTTTTATATTTTCGTATTTTCCATAGTGCAGGAGCTGGAACTTTTCTTCATTATATTACTGTGGCCCTTTTGAAAGACCCAATTAACATCATATTGGAGGTTTGCTCTGTCTTGTATGTTGTCTACTTGCATGAAGATCCTTGCATCATCTGCAAAGGATGACACAGTACTGTACTATAGTTGGTATCCTTTTCTATGCTTCCACCAATGTCTCATTGTCCAACCTCTTTTTAATGTAAATAGGCTTCCTTTATCCACTTTATCCATCCCCCGCAAGATCTTGTACATAGTTGTCATATCCCCCAATTTCTTCCCTAAAGGTTGTGAGGCTTGGTTCTCTCAACCTGTCTTCATACCTCAGGCCTCTTGATTCTGGTACATCTCTTTGGGGTTAGTTGGTGTACCTCAACAACTGGCTGGTTTGGGCTCCAAGTTGGTCCATGTGTCGGCTAGCCAGGGATCTGGTTCATTCCTAGCTTGCTGGATTTGGGTTCCTAATGAACTGGTAGAAATCCCAGTTGGTTCTATTCCAAGTTTAGACTTTGAAGTAGAAGGGCCTCATTTGGGGGTTCTTTGGGCTTTTCTGTCCCTGTCTCTAGTAGTCTTGCTTCGCCTGCAGGTTCATTGTTGTCTGGTGTTGCATATGCCTCTGGTGACTTACTGGTTGATCAGGCAGGTAGGCAAAGTTCAAGCTCCTGCATGTTATTTTTTTCCTTGGGCATGGTTTTGAACTGAGCATTGTACCGGTTTCACTGGTTCTGCGCAAACCCACAGGTCCCAGGAGCAGCAAAACAAACAGGTTTGGGCCCCTTCCTTCCACTGTCGGCCCTTTCATTGCAAGCTTTCCTTTCGACTTTTTGAGGTTAGGTTCCGTGGTGCCATCCTCCCTCATTGCTCAATGCACTCGTCAGACCGCTCGGGGTTGGTAGTTAAGCCTGTTCATTTTGGTTTACAGTTACGTGCACGAATTTGCAGTTGTGTGGCATGCCTTACACAAGATTCAGTTTCCCCTGGGCTCTGTGTATTTCAGCTGCACCTCTGACAGCTTCCCAGTAGTTCATTGAATTGAAAGGGAGGTTGTTCAGTCAATTACCCTGTGGAATGCTTTGAATGGCTCAGCTTCTGGATTTTTGGGTTTAGTTCTCTGCATGATTTACATTAGGGGAATGTACAATGTTCTTGCAGACAGGTTATCTCATTTCTGTCCAAATTCTACAGAGTGGGTTTCGAGAACGCATCCTTCAATTGACTTTGCTAGACATTCGGTCGTCCCATGGTGAAAAAATTTGCATTGGTATAGAACTGGCACCATCCCTCCTATGTGGCTCCATTTTCCCAATTGTGAGGCTCTTGCAGTGAATGCCTGTCAACTAGACTGGGTGAGATGGAGGTGCATTTACCTCTTTTTCCCCTATTTAGTTGTTGCTCCAGGTTGTCCAGTCTAAACTTGTACTCGGGGAGCGTGATCCTTCTGGCTGCTGGTAGCTTGAAAAGACTTTCCTCTCATAACAATCTGGCTCCTATCAATTTCAAAGTTTAATGGGAATCTAATTCCCTCCTTCATTTCCTAGTTGTTCACAGCTGTGTTTGGTTTCTCTTTCTCTGTTTACCACAAGCTTATGCACGGTGGTATGTAAATTTTTTTCCTACTATCCATCTTCTGTTAAGTGTTCTTATCTCTCTCTTCCTCTAAGTCCTGTGCATTAGCCACCCTCATTTTCTTGATTCTGAAATTTCTATTTCAAGTGTTGCTCTCGTCTTAGTCACCTCTTGCATATTATCAGTTGTACCTATTCTCAAGTTAAAAAAAATGTCTTTGATCCTGAACCTGTTTCCAACACTAGTAACACAGCTGTCCCTTCCCTTCATATCTGAACTCAAAACTCTCACCAATACCCTTCGTCCTCTTGATGTAAAACTCGCCTTTCACAAACTAACACTTCGTAGTAATCTATTTCACACTGCTGTTCCTGCTTCCAATGCTACTGGTGTCTACTCTATTTTTTGTTCGTTTTGTCCTCTCCAGTAATTTGGGTGAAACTCGCCATACACTGAATTAACAGACCTAAGGAACACAAAAGAAGTATAAAGTTTACAGACACAAATAATGCTGTCTTCTGACACGTTAGGGACTAATCATCGTATAGATTGGTAATTTTCTAAAGTAATCTTTCCTGTCTCTCCTCTTCACAGACAGTCTTGTCGAATCTGCTCTGATACACAACTCAGAGACATTAGAAAGAATTTTTTCAATGTCAGAGTAGTTAACAAATAGAATGCATTAGGCAGTGATGTGGTGAAGGCAGACTCCATACTCGGTTTCAAATGTAGATTTGATAGAGCTCAATTGGCTCAAGAATCTGTACACCAGTTGATTGACAGTTGAGAGGCGGGACCAAGCCAAAGCTCGACCTCCGCAAGCACAACTAGGTGAGCGCAGCGTGACAAACATGAACGTTGAACATTTGTGATTGACTTGCACGATCATGGCATGACATGATCTGACTTGCCTTTGACTCTAGGCTCGTTCCTGTCTTTCATTACTGGATTGTTCTCCCTCTGCCCTTAGGCTTCTTGCAGTTATTTTTATCTTATTGCTTACCTTTATTTTTCTAGCCTTTTTCTTACTTATACCAGTTTTCCTTCCCTTACTTCTAGCCTTTAATTTACCTGATTCTCTTCAGTCTTACCTTTCATCCTATTGTTCTTTCATTCTTTTTCTTTCATCTTATTCTTATCTTTTATTATTCTTATGATGACTGAAAGAAAAAGGCAAAGATATCCTTTATCTCACTTTTCCCTCTTTTTTTTTTCACTTCCATTCTTTCCATAAAAGCAGGCCTGGTGAGGGATAACCATAAACACGATCAGTCAAGCACAACACATCTTGCTGTAAGTACAGTACATGCATTGAATGATTTACCTTCTTTGTATTTATGTTGATTTTACCGTGTTTTACCAACTCTAGTGCAATGATGCATTGGGTCAATAATATTTGTATTGCAGAATGTATAGAATATTGATACACACATGTACTCGGGTCACTAATATGAATTCAGTATTCTTTGAATTCAATATTATATAATATATATTTTATTACACTATATGCACATGTTATATATAACTATCTACAATTTTATGCACCGTAATTAAGTGGTAAGCTGTTCTGGTGGCCCAAACACAGCATAGTGTCAATGAGCTAGTCAGCTAACGATGCCACCTGACTGCAAAAATGCCTTCATTATAACATGCAAATTGCTGATTTAGGCATAATACTGCTGCTATTATCAGAATCCTGTTCACTAAATCATGAATATGAATAATTTTCAACAACTTTATTTTCTATAGGAGCATGAGGATGAGGTCATTTTTATGATCCATTGATGCATGAAACAATGGCCCCAAGTACTGCAGTCATCTGCCTCACACACATCATCATAACTAGCATTGTGTTCACTGATATCTGAACCTTTGACTATCCCCCTCGAACTGCACAGTGGTTCTGTGAATTACTGTTGCATGCACTACACTTGGTTGCTCTGTTTGTAATTACCCAAGTGTAGTTACAGGATGAGAGCTACGCTCGTGGTATCCCGTCTACCCAGCACTCTTTGTCATATAACCAAGGCTCTTACAGCCAGGAGGATTGCAGATGATATTTTATCAAGATTGTGTCTTTACTTGAAGCATGAAGAACAGAATGCGAGTTCTGTGCATCTGTGGGAGCTTTTATCATTCTCTATACCTACAAATGAGCTCTTGTGAGCACACCACCCGTCAAATGAGATCTCGGTGCACAGTACAGGGGTAAATGTCTACTGTATAACCTTTCACTATATTAACTCCCCTAGATGATGCCTCCCTACCCCATGAAAATGGGAAATGGTGTAATGATAATACACTTCTAAATAGCACTACTTTCTCTTTTTCAGGCACTAGCAGGTATTGGCTGTACACCATGATTAAAGACAAAGAACCAAATACTGTACATGGAAGACTAGCATTATAGCTTGGTGGGATATGGATGACAGAGTTGCTGAAATGTTGATTTTAAATCAAAGCTTTTTGCTTTCTTTAAGTTTTAATTTACATTGACAGTAATTTGACAAATTTATAATTAAGATATTTTAATTTCTTGCTAGGCATGGTGAAATGCACACTCATAGTTAATGAAATTGTTAATAGACACCATAAAATACATAATGCATAGTTTTATGGACATTTGTAAGGTTTGAGATTTGAAGAATGCCTGATAATTTGTGGGTCTGTTTTTAAAAGAATTAATGCATTATTGGTTTGGTTTTATCTAATTCTTTTCCTCTGAGTAGGATGCTATTTCTTGCAGGGAAAGCTTTGACAGTGAATGCAAGATAAGACTTATTTTCTATGTAAAGAACAGCCACATATATTTGAAATAGGTGTTCCCAAAAAGAGGCTCTATACATGATTTGTTCAACATTTTTGTTTAAAAAACAAACAAAAAAAAGGCCAAAGTAGCCTTGAGAAAAGTTTTTAAATATAGCAGTCAGGTTCCTGGATAATTCCTAACAGTTCTACGTAGTAATTATTCCACTACAGTATTACTATATTGAAGAATATCTCTTGTGGGAATGAATATACAATAGTTCATTTTGCATCTCTTAGACCTATATTGTCATGAGCATACTTTCTTTTTTGAACTCCGGAAAGGTGTAGATAGGTCCATGTACAGCACTTTAATTTCATTACAGCCTTCTGGCAAACAATAATGATGTGGACTATTCCTACTAAGTGAAAGATAAAAAAGCATACAGTATGAAGGTTTAACTTGTATATACACTATGTAATACTGTATTTTCAGTGGTTAACCAGTTAGCCAATAGTTCTATTAATGTTACATACACAAATTTAAAAAGATAAACATGCTTAAGCATTCCTTCTAGGTCTTTGACTTCGTTTTTCGTACATTTCTCCATGACAAGCCAATAGCTATCATAGATGGTAAAGCTTCAACTTAGTGTTATGATTCCAATCATACCATGCATATTTCAACTCGAAGCTTTAATGCATAGAGTTGAAATATTGTACATCAATTTGATCATGTTTACATAGAAGTTGGAGTACTTTATTTACCTAGAGCTACATGTAATTGTCAAGATCATTTCATGAATTCCTGTTTTTATCAAATGATGAAATGTTTAATCTTTTTTCCTTTTTGTAGAGACTGTAAGCAATGTGTTAGAAATTAAACAAATTGTATTTGTTTAAAATTACATTCAATTTAATTCTTAAATCAGTGTAAATCTTCCATTATTTTGAATCTCATGAATTACATGCATTACCCCAAAATTAATGTAAATATGTTATCTTATTATTTATTATAATCAATAGTACACATGTTTATTTATTGTCCTTGGTCTATTACAGTTTCTGGCTTTCTATTGTTGGGGACAAAGTCAGTTGGACTTGTTAAGCTTTCCCTTATCAACTGACTTTACCTAGGATGCAATGCACAATGTCACCCAACTTCTGCTTACCCATTTACTGCTTGATGTTTTGAGCCATTCCGATGAAATTCTGTAGGCATAGAATGATATTAAAAGATTAAACACAAACAGTAGAGAATTAGCTTCACTAAACAAAGTTGGACCAATGCAAGTAACTAGACACATGACAGATGCTGAAACTGCCCTTTACAAGGTACATATGTATATTGGGGAAAAAACCCAGTGTTGAATGTAATGAAATGCCAAATTTTGATAAGCCCAGTTTCTCCTTGAAGCTATCTTGCCGAGATGGCCCCTAATTACTAGATAGTATCGGCTGTAGAGGTGAGTTCTACCTAAAAGTGGACCAGAGCCAGAAACCTGCCCCCTTCCCACAGAGGCACATGAAGCAGGTGACACTGCCACCTCACTGGAAAAGGCACCCAGAAAGTCAGCGAACCAGTACAGGCCACACCTCGCTTCAAGAGAGAGACTGAAGCCTCACAACCCATTAAATGATATGCATCAATGTAGACAAGTGATGACACATTTTTTAAAACAAGTGCAAACCCAGTAGCCCCGCCCCTCTCACTCATGTGGGGAGGGAGGGAAGGGGACTGGGGCTTAAGCCCTTGGTTTCGAAGCAGATGTGCACAGAACCCCAAGTGATGACCTGGAAGGGAGGAGGGAATCCAGAGAAGAAAACACAGGACTCACCAGGAAAGTCAAGATTTCAACAATGAACTTACATGTACAGTACTGTTGAACAGTTCATGAAATAACTTTTTCTATCATCCAGGCCACGTAACCCCAATTTCACTGTTCATAATAATTATGCACATTATAATGGCTGCACACACTAAAATGAACAGGGCCAGGAGCACTTGACTAACATGTCAGCCCGTCCTCGGGATTCCATAGTACTCACGTGGCATAATGCTCATAGTTCCTATGCTGCTAATGTTCATAGTTTCCCTGTTGTAGATTTACAGTTACAATATTAGCTATCACCATTTTCCATCCTATTCGAATATCATGGATCAGCTAGGAATATCCCTGGAAAAAACGAAAAAGCTATATTCTATTGCTCCCTCCTTTTCCAGCCTATTGCCGTCATGAGGGGGGGCTTGGTGAGTGACTGCAAGTGTGTGATGCTCCATGGGACAGTCCTCTGTCCTTATGAAGCCTTATGCTCCTGCTTCCGTCTTCAATTGTGCTGAACGCCTTTTCCTCTTCCTTATGTTTAATTTTTCTTCCCCCCCCTCTTCTCCTTCTGATTGTTATTTCCCACTGACTTTTGCCATTCTTAATTATTCTTTCAGATGTCTTCTTCTGTTTTGACATCGGGTTTTTGGGGAGGCACACACGCCCATAAAACTGTGGTACCTAATGGTGTCGAGCAAGGGGATGCTTTTATTGTCAATCTTTGCCATTGTCGCCGAGTCCGATCTCAATGGATCGACGGTTCTTAAGGTGACGATTGCAGGGCGTATACCCACAATGCACTCCTGGGGGGGGGTGTGAAGAGGCTGTCCTTTCCTTGTAGCCTCTTTTCAGGAAGAGACTGCTGCCCACTTAGCCTCGTTGTCCTGCATTGAGGAAACCCCCTGTTCAAATTTCCAAAAATGCCCGGTTAAATGCTAGCATTGGCACGGTTATTCTCCCGCACCATGTTGCGATTGGTGATGGGGAACTGAAAGACTGCCACGAGGATATTAAACATACCCTTGAGGGCCAAGGCCATTCTATCCTCCAGATTGATACGTTCACTCGACCCCCCCTTGTGGTCGTTGTTGTTAACCCCTTCACATAATGAAGATCACTTGATATTAGGTCTCTTCCGTCTTCCATAATCCTTGCTGGCGCCAGATGCTCTGTTAAGTGCTGGTACACCTGTCTCTTTACGTCTGAAACGTAAGTCTGGCTCCTCTCCTTCCTCCCCGGCAGGTAAGAGGGCATCGCTCTCTTCCTTACCTTTTGACTCCGACTCTATCCCTAACTCACCTCCCATTTCAGTGGCCCATTTCCACGTGAGCAACACAAATCGCATTTGTGTTGCTCACGTGGCCCCACAAAGTGAGGTGATTCATATACAAATTGAAGAAAATGGATTGTACATTAAGTATTATAGAAAACATATAGGGGAAGGTATACTACACAAATGCCCACAGGATTGGTATTTTATTTTATTATTTATTTATTTATATACAGTATACAAGCGTTCTTACATTCTTGTATAGCCACTAGCACGCATAGCGTTTCTGACAAGTCCTTAATCCAAATATTATTTCCAGTAGATTAAAACACTGGAGTTTTGCTGGGTTCCCAGCCATATTGGTGTGTCCTTAAATGAGCATGCGAATGCTACTTGTACCTCTGACTTGTTCTATTCTGACTTGTACCCAGTTATTCTTTCCTCCATCCTTGCCTGTTGATCTTGTTACTGGTAACAAAGTGCATGCTCTTAAGAATAGTGTGTCCCCATGGCCTTCCTACTACCACCATAACCGGCGGTGGGAAACGGCTCTGGCAAGGTTAAGTATTGGCCATACACGCTTAACTCACAGGCACTTAATGGAGTGCCACCCTGCTCCTTATTGTCCAAACTGCGTTGTCCCTCTTACTGTCGTGCATATCCTTGTTGAATGTCCTGGACGAAACTTCCAGGACGAACATGTGTCTTGCTTCCTAACCGTCCTTCGCGGTCACTTGTCCCTCAATAGAATTATTGGTGAATCGGATACCCTTGATATCGTTCGCCTTATGGGTTTCTGTTCTCATATTGGCATCCTTAGTGATATTTAGTGCCCTATGATTATTCTGCACATTTGATAGTGCTACATAGCCTTCCCGGCTTTGTGCTTTCTTTTGATAATTACTTACTTAATCTTAATTTTTCACACACACATCCCTGGGAAACAGCCCGTAGCAGCTGTCTAACTCCCAGGTACCTATTTACTGCTAGGTGAACAGGGCTTTAGGGTGAATGAAACTGTCCATTTGTTTCCGCCTCTGCCAGGGCAAACTCAGACCCTTAGGACTATGAACTCCAAGCACTGTCCACTCATCCGTCAGGGCCCCCAGGTATGGGGTCCACTACCGCCCACAGGGTGGATAAGGGGGTCCACTACCGCCAACAGGGCGGGTATGGGGTTCACTACCTCCCACAGGATGGGTATGGAACCCACTACCAAACACAGGATGGGTATGGGGGTCCACTACCACCCACAGGATAGGTATGGAGCCCACTACCTCCCACAGGATGGGGTATGGAGTCCACTGCTGCCCACAGGATGGGTATGGTGCCCACTACCGCCCACAGGGTAGGTATAAATTTCACTACCACCCACAGGATAGGTATGAGGTCCATTACCACCTGTAGGATGGGTTTGGGGTTCTCTACTGCAAATAGGATGGATATAGGGTTCACAACAAGTCACACGATGTTTACGGGGTCCAATACTACCCAAAAAGATAGGTATGGGGTCACCTACCACCTCTTGGATAGGTATGGGGTCCACTACCACCTGTTGGATGGGTATGGGGTCCACTACTGCCCACAGGATGGGTAGGGGCTCACCCACACACTGGCTGGGTATAGGGCTCACTACCACCCACAGGATGAGTATGACGTCCACTACCGCCAACAGGGTGGGTATGGGGGTCCATTACCACCCACAGGATGGGTATAGAGCCCACTACCACCCACAGGATGGATATGGAGTCACTACCCCCCAATGGACTCCATATCCATCCTGTGGGCGGTAATGGACCCTATATTCATCCTGTGGGCGGTAGTGGACCCCATACTCATATAACAGTTGGTAATGGACCCCATAAACATCCTACAGGTGGTAGTGGACCCCATACACATCGGTTGACTAGTTGTGGACCTTATATCCATCCTGAGGATACACTGGCAGTGCTGAAGGTAGCAATGTACAAGTTCCCAAGTAGGAAGAATTGAGAGGCAAGACCGACGAGAGGCATCAACATCAGAGGCTGGTATCACGTGACAGACTTGATATGGTGAGAGGCAATGTCGTATTATGTTATCCCGTCGTTGTAGATGTTTTTAAGTACCCCGAGACGGTCCTAGTTGCTTGTATATGCCATGCCATGTATAAACTTAAAGAAAATTGTAAACTGTTTATTTAGTTAAAATTCCTACTGCTGTTCTTTTGCATTTTCTGTTGTTCCGTCCATCATGTAATTATTATCATTCTCATTTTCTTTTATTCCTTTTTTCAATTCAATTTATGCTTTTGATCTCAATTAGTATTAGGTTTTAGTACAAGTTTTTTTCCTCAACTTGCCCGAAACGCTATGCGTATGAGTGGCTTCAGGCATTGTACTAGCTCTATCTATAAAGCCAACATTATGTTTGCAACTTATTGTCAATGTATGTACCTTTACCAACGGTAAAGGTACATACCGAATAAATGAATATGATATGATGAATAAAATCTTATCTTATAAATTTCAAGAATGGAAACTTGAGATTCTAACAAGCAGAACTGAAGAGGTTGGAGTTGTAAAGGGCGTATAGGAAGGAGCTGGCATCCTGTAAGCATGCAGGTCTCGCTTGATATAGTATAAGAGCATACGTCTCGTCTTGAGACTTATACTCCAGGCGCTGGAAGAGTAACTTGGGGAGACGGAGACAGGAAGAGCGAGGAAGGTGACCGGGTTTTGAAGACGAGAGTAGCACCGAGGACCCATCCAGCGTCACAAAGTGATGGTCAAGAACGTCACTTGTGCAGGATAATAATCTGAACAATGTCATCATGGACGTTAATATTTAATATAACGCATAAATGTTCATACTTCAATAAGTTAAAATCACGCAATTTGCCATTAACGAGCAATATCTTAAGTCAGTTGAAAGCAAATATTTAACATCATCCAATGTTGTGTCAGGAACTTTGGGTTGTTAGGTTTCTTAGGCTGTTATTGCATATACTGTATATTGTAGTTGTTTAGCGGCCATTAACAGTTCTTGACTGATGGACGATTACTACTTCACTATTGCAAATGTTGCTCTGTTATATCTGTTATTCTGTTGTAACATTTACAAAAGAATGTTGTATTTGGTTTGTGAATTAGATTTTGAAATTAACAACTTCAAACATTTAAGCTGGGGATCATTATTAGTTCCTTAAAGACTCGCGGTCGTAATTTGGGAAGTGAAGAAGTGGCTGTTGGCCATTGATAATTGACACTTCAGACTCGCAAAATGTTAACCAATGGGGTAAGTGTTAGGGTGAATGTCAACCAATCAGCGGCCGGGTTTGGTTGGCTGCTGATTATAAAAGGGACGATGAGACAAAAAGCACGTCAGTGTGTTTTACCTCACTTTTGATATCGAGTTCCAGGTACGTCTCTTGAAGTTTAATCTGCATGTGGTGGATCCCCTCCCTCCCTCCTTCCCCCCGGCCCATGTTGCGTCCCTCCCTCCTTCCCCCCGGCCCATGTTGCGTCCCCGGCCCTCCCTCCCTCCCTCCCCCCCGGCCCATGTTGCGTCCCTCCCTCCTCCCCCCCCGGCCCATGTTGCGTCCCTCCCTCCTTCCCCCCGGCCCATGTTGCGTCCCTCCCTCCTTCCCCCCGGCCCATGTTGCGTCCCTCCCTCCTCCCCCCCCCCGGCCCATGTTGCGTCCCTCCCTCCTCCCCCCCCCCGGCCCATGTTGCGTCCCTCCCTTCCTCCTTCCCCCCGGCCCATGTTGCGTCCCTCCCTCCTTCCCCCCGGCCCATGTTGCGTCCCTCCCTAATCCCCCCGGCCCATGTTGCGTCCCTCCTTCCCCCGGCCCATGTTGCGTCCCTCCCTCCTTCCCCCCGGCCCATGTTGCGTCCCTAATCCCCCGGCCCATGTTGCGTCCCTAATCCCCCGGCCCATGTTGCGTCCCTAATCCCCCGGCCCATGTTGCGTCCCCCCCTCCCCCGGCCCATGTTGCGTCCCTAATCCCCCGGCCCATGTTGCGTCCCTAATCCCCCGGCCCATGTTGCGTCCCTAATCCCCCGGCCCATGTTGCGTCCCTTTCCCCTGGCCCATGTTGCGTGGTCCCTCCCCCACCCCCGTCCCATGTTTTGTGCCTCCCTCCCCCGTCCCAAGTTGCGTCCCTCCCTTCCCCCCTTCTCCGGCCCATGTTGCGTTACCCCTACCTTCCCCCCCCCCCCCCATAGGGAGAGGTCTACACAAGGCAGTCTGAAGCTTGACAAACCCGCCTTGAGTAAAATTCAGATGCTAGTCTCCGGACACTTCCCCCATAGTGGATTGCTCTAACAGTTCAAAAAGTTGTTTGGTATGTACAGTATAGCCATGCACGTTATCACAATGTTAAAACTTATTGTTAAATGCAGACGGGTGATAAACTTTTACTGTAGTGTTTAAAAAAAAAATCTTTAGTCATTGTTACTACTAAAGGTGTAGCATTAATACTTGTAATTTTTCTTGGCAAAACCTCAACACCCCCCCCCCCCCCCCCCCAAAAAAAAAAATTAATAATTCTAGTCATCCTTTTGAGTCTACAAAACCCGTAGGTTATCTAGGCCTCTAGCCTAGAGGCTTAACAATGATTTGAAAGTAACTTAGATAAACGTAACGGATAAATACTAATTTTAACTTTTTAAACTTAAATTTTTCTAGTGTAATTGAAAATATGGCAACTTCTATATTAAATATGTTTACCTTGGCTTGCCTTATTAACCATATTCTTACACCAGGGTAAGTTTAAATGCTCGCTTTAGTAATAAACTTGTATTACTTTGCAAAGTCCAGAATGCTTCTGCTTAAAATACTTGTGTGGGGTCTTAGAGGACCACTACATAGCACCAGAGGGCTCCCCGGTGGTGGTGGTCCAGTCTCTTGAGCTAAACCAGTTGTTTACGTCAGTTTTCGTTTCGCCTCTTCCTTCCCAAAAGTCCTAGAGAGTAAGCGTCTCTGCAGTTCTCAAAAAAATCTTTTGAAAGTTTCAAACAAGTTTCTTTCCTGATCCACATAACGTCCGACAGTTTACTCTTCAAGCGGCACCCTTTTCCTTTAATCTGACACCCGTATGGCTTGTTGTACTGCATTAATGTCGTACAGCTCGGTTATAACTTCCGGTATGTATGGTATTAAGTGCAGGTTACTCATAAAGGCTTCAACGGCTGTAAAGAGGTCTGTAAAAGTTAATTTTAACTTATTAAAAGATTTAAACCTTATTTTAAGGAATATAAATGGTAACTCTCCCCCCCTTCCGTCCCCAGGCTCGGCAGACCACGGCCAGACAACAGGGAAGGCAACGAGGACTGTCTAAGAGGTATTGAAGAACATCTTTAACGACGGCATGAAGTAGCACGACATTGCCTGTCATCTGTGAGGCCAGCCTGTAATATTTTTTGCCAGCAAATGGCCTGATTTCCTGAATGGTGAAGTTGTAAAATATTAAAATTTCTAAACTAGCTCATGATCTTCTGAATACCTTAGCCTGAAAGTCTCTTAATGCTTTGTCTATACAACTTGCCACTAAAGACCTGAAGTGTTAGCGCTCACCCCCACTCCCTCCCTCCCTTTTAGGAAAAGGGTTAAATCCTTAACTCGTCGGTTAAGGAAACTATTGCTTGTGATTTCAATGATCTTAGAACAATGCAGCGGGGGGATATGTAACCACCATATGAACACCAGTACTCTCCCCCATCCCCTCTACAGCCCAGTGTAGATGGATTACTTGTAAAACCTGGTTGTGGCACTATTTTGGGCCTCGCTCCCAGTGACCTCGCAAAGTATCTATGAATAACTCTTGTCTTGCTTTGTTTGGCAGCAAGTTAGTATCTGGAAAAAACTTGAACGCTGGTTCGATTCTAGTGTGTTCTGAAATGCATGTTTATATTCAAACCCATTCTAATTGGGCAACTAACGACGCAACTAAATGACTTCCCTAGTTGCTTATATTTCTATATCTACATAATTGCATTGTATTGCAACCTAGTATGGTAAAAATCATGTTTCTAAACTATTACTTTTCTTGTACACACATCATAAATGCATATCTATAGATGGAACAAATTTAATTTCACTAAAAACTTCAGAGGGATGTACTTTTATTTTATTAAAATTTGGAACAAAGACGATACGCACATGTTTCGTGTTGAGCTTGTCAAGTCTCGATGTTTTAATTATGTGAACTTAGATTTTTACATTAGTAATGGGTGTCTGCCACAAAATGGCCTGGTAACAAGAGTAACATCAGCCTCGTGAATTGCCAGTGGACAAAACTTAGCGTGGGTGGAACAGGAACAACGGGACAGGTGAAAACAGTGCCCAAATTTGATAATTCCCCGAGAAAAGCGCAAAGCCATTAAAACATAGCACTTGGAAGGGTTCAGAATAAGTATTTGAAGGACAAAATCCTTCAAAAATACGGGGAGGGGGGGGGGGGGAGGAATGGTGCTCAACCACTTAGACGGTCATGGCTCGAACGCCGACCTGCACGAAGCGAGCCAGTCGCTCTACGGTCCAGCCCAAGTGGTTGGGCGAACCATATATTTTAAAGATTTTTCAGTGTCAATTAACAGATGTAATGCGCTAGGCAGTGATGTGGAGGAGGCAGACTCCATACAGTTTGAAATGTAGATAGGATAAAGCCCAGTTGACTCGAGAATCTGTACACCAGTAGATTGACTGTTGAGAGGCGGGACCAGAGAGCCAAAGCTCAACCTCCGCAAGCACACCTAGGAGAGTACACAATCCTGAGGGTGATCTGGGTACCCACGGAATAGGTGCGCAACTGTTTCACAGGACCTAACCATCTTTCCAGCACCACAAAGTATTTAACCAGGCCAGTTCAATGTGATTACAGTATAACTGGAAGCTAAGCCTCTGGTTTCTTTGCAGACCTGTGTAGCCTCTTGGTTGGCTTGCCTACTTGCGGAGCTAATGGGTCGTTTTATAGCCTCTTGTTGAAAGTTTAAAAGACCAGGTTAACACTAGTCCCACCGAGGGAGTAGACTTGAGTACTGGAAAATCTTGCCAGGAGTGCTTACCACCCGTGTCAAGCTAAAGTGGCATTTAAGGGGGGGGGGTGATTGGAGAGGTCGGTCTGTTTTGGAAATAGGTGATTGGGTCCATGAACACCTCCAAACTATACCCGATCATCCGGATTTATGGTTTCAGGATAGTAGCATTATTTAACAGCCAAGCCTAGTCACACCGGGCCTCAAGAACATTGCGTCCAGCAGTACAAACCACGGTTAATTAAATAAGGAAGGTTGGATAAAATGCCAGTGTTTGAGGTAGCAATTTATTGAAATTCAAAGTTTGAATAAAGATTCAGCGCGAGTCATCAGAGGGCGAGCTCTTAGATCAGAAGATAGTGGTGAAGGGTAGTACATAGTTTTATTCCGTCGTTGTAGATGGTCAGTACAGACTGTCCTCGTTGTCTTCTCTAGTCTTGCTGTAGTTGGCCGGACCTGGGGACGAGAGGAAACTAACATTAGTAATGTCAGGGTTTAAAAGTTAATATTGCACAATTGTTTTTTTTAAACTTAAGTAAATGCAGTTTTTTTGAGTCTGGTGAATCAAAACTCTATAGGCGATACAACTTTTCATTGTTAATGTTTTAATATTTGCAAGTTGCGTGGAATTGCTGCAACTGTAGTTGTTTTGTAATTCGTAACTGCGATTTGCAGCGTATGGTGCGCATGTGCAGGGGTACGTGTAAAGTAAACTTAATAACTAGAATACCTATTCAAAGTAAGCAGGGGCACATGCACCCGCACATTGTAGTACGTAAATAAAATATACAAGGTTAGAGAATTCATCCCTAAATTATAAATGGTGCACTTAATAATAACGAAGGAGGCATATCGCCTATGCACCAATACTCTTGTGTGTCTACCATTACATCTATAAATGATGAGACAAGCTACATGCACACACACACATTGAAAGAGTATGTATGATAAATGTGTATACACAAATATTCTGATTAAAACAAGTCGTGGCAAGCATATAGTTGATATAATAAAGTTGTGATGGGGAAAGGGAGCGGCAAAGAACTCCCCGCCTTCATTAGACACTAGCAACCTCCACAATCACTCACTGGATTGGTGTGGGGTCCACTACCACCCCGCAGAATGGGCGTGGGGTCCACTACCACCCCGCAGAATGGGCGTGGGGTCCACTACCACCCCGCAGAATGGGCGTGGGGTCCGCTACCACCCCGAAGAATGGGCGTGGGGTCCGCTACCACCCTGCAGGATGGGCGTGGGGTCCGCTACCACTCCGCAGGCAACCCGTTCTCACACAAGACAGCACATATATGACGTAATGCTTAAAGTCAATATGTTGAATGTGATTTAGTACACAAGTGATATATTCCCAGTTACCTTTTTTACCAAGGCCCAAACTCTTCCTCACGTACCAATTTACGTCTCACAGTACCCGTCCATCAACGTAGATAGCAGAATAGTCGTGATTGGTTCAATTATAATGAAAATTGTAGTTTTCAGGTCCCACATGGGTTGTGAAATTTACCTTCTATTGTCCATGCTATTATAATATTACAGATCAGCTATATCCTATTGAAGGCTCGTAGTTTTGTTTTGAGAAATATTAGTTGTTCTTGGTAAATTATAATAAGCACTATAAATTATTACATAGAATAACAGTGCTTCACCAATCAATATTTTATACCATAGTTAGTGCTTTAAAAATCTTTAAAGAATGTTTTGTAGGAACGCTAACAGAAAACGATGTTACGTTGGAATGTTTATGGGGTATACTACTGCAAACAGCATGGTATGGTGTCTACCAAATATTGGATGGGTATAGGGTCCAATACCACCTGTTAGGTGGGTAAGGGGTCCAATACCACCCACAGGATGGGTATAGGGATCACATCCACCCACAGGAAGGGTATGGGGTCCAATACCATCCACTGGATGTGTATGGCGTCCACTACCACCCACAGGATGGGTATGGGGCTCACAACCACCCACAGGATGGGTATGGGGATCACTTCCACCCACAGGAAGGGTATGGGGATCACTTCCACCCACAGGAAGGGTATGGGGTCCAATACCATCCACTGGATGTGTATGGCGTCCACTACCACCCACAGGATGGGTATGGGGCTTCGACCACCCACAGAATAAGTATGGGGTCCAGTAACACCCACTGGATGTGTATGGCGTCCATTGCCGCCAACAGGATGAGTATAGGGTCCAGTATCACCCACAGGATTAGTATATAGGGTCCACTGCCGCCCACAGGGTCGGTAGGGGGTCCACTACCGCCCACAGGGTTGGTAGGGGGTCAACTGCCGCCCACAGGGTCGGTAGGGGGTTCACTACCGCCCACAGGGTCGGTATGGGGTCCACTGCCACCCACAGGGTCGGTATGGGGTCCACGACCACCCACAGGGTCGGTAGGGCGTCCACTACCGTCCAAGGGTCGGTAGGGGTCCACTACCGCCCACAGGGTCGGTAGGGGGTCCACTGCCGCCCACAGGGTTGGTAGGGGGGTCCACTGCCGCCCACAGGGTCGGTAGGGGGTCCACTACCGTCTACAGGGTCGATATGGGGTCTACAGGGTCGGTAGGGGGTCCACTACCGCCCACAGGGTCGGTAGGGCGTCCACTACCGTCCACAGGGTCGGTAGGGGTCCACTACCGCCCACAGGGTTGGAATGGTAGGGGGTCCACTGCCGCCCACAGGGTCGGCAGGGGGTCCACTACCGCCCACAGGGTCGGCAGGGGGTCCACTACCGCCCACAGGGTCGCTATGAAGTCAACTACCGCCCACAGGGTCGCTATGAAGTCAACTACCGCCCACAGGGTCGCTATGAAGTCAACTACCGCCCACAGGGTCGCTATGAAGTCAACTACCGCCCATAGTGTTTGCATAGTGTCCAATACCGCCCATAGTGTTTGTATAGTGTCCACTACCGCTCATACTGTTATTATGGGGTCCACTACCCCTCATAGTGTCGGTATGGGGGTCCATTACTACCCACAGGGTGTGTCTGGGGTCTATTTTTTTCTGTATAGCAGAGGTGGCAATACTGCTTTTCCAATCCCATTTGTTGTTCAATGTAAAATATTTGTTGCTCGACTTGCAACAATTTATATATATATATATATATATATATATATATATATATATATATATATATATATATATATATATATATATATATATATATATATATATATATCAGTCTCCGTGGTGTAGTGGTAAGACACTCGCCTGGCGTTCCGCGAGCGCTATGTCATGGGTTCGTATCCTGGCCGGGGAGGATTGACTGGGCGCAATTCCTTAACTGTAGCCTCTGTTTAACGCAACAGTAAAATGTGTACTTGGATGAAAAAACGATTCTTCGCGGCAGGGGATCGTATTCCAGGGACCGTAGGATTAAGGACTTGCCCGAAACGCTACGCGTACTAGTGGCTGTACAAGAATGTA